GGGAGGCAGCCCCGGCGGCGGTTCCTGCTGCGGGGGAGCCCCGGCCCGCAGCTGCTCCCCGCCCCGGCATCGGAGTCAGAGCTCATGCGGTCATTAATCTCTTTCTAGTTAAAAACCCAGTCATACGCGTTTCCAGACACTACTGTTTTGTCCCTGGCTTCTGCTGTGCAGTTCAGTGTTGAGGGAAGGAAACCTCACGGACAGCTAGTGCTGCTTCGGTTAAACTGCTGCCATTAATAATTTCTGGGCGCTCCTCCTTTCTGTAAGTCGATTGTCGTGAATTAACCCTTCCAACCTAAGAAATGTTCAGTTTACAGGTAATAATTGGTATTCCAGGTAGGCAGGTTCTGATTGAAGCAGTGTAGTAGTTTATCACGGTAGGGGAATCTGATTATTGTGGAGGTAGAGGGGTGCAGAGTATGAGGGTCAAACTATAAAGTTGATAAAGAAACGAGCCAGTTACTGTGATTGCAAAGCTTTCCTTTGTAGTGTAGAAGTAAAGCAAAGGGCCTCATTCTCCTTTTTGTAAAACCTTTGCAGATACCTGTCTCATCCGGAATTAATTTTAAATGCTCCTACTAGGGTGAGATGGCAGCATCTTCCACCCACCTCGTTCTGGCTTTCCATCAACTGAATAAAGGCAGCTATCCAGGAGATGCAGAAGTTAGGCCTAGTTCAGCCTTCTCTCTGTTCATTTAACAGGAGTATACTGTTTTGATTAGCTAAATGTATACGTTTAAACTTAGTTTGAATTAGTTTAGCTTTCTTTGGCAGAATGAGGGTAGCCAAATTAGAGATAACAAACCTACTTAGCCTAATTAGAATAACTTAACTTACCTCTAGAGACAAGGCATCAGAAAGATGGTACATACTGATAGTACCACTTTTGTAATTTTATTGTTCAAATCCTGGGAATCCTTTTACTTCAGTGTTGAAAAGTTTGCTTAATAGTTATACTAAGTGCCCTTGAAGCTACAGAATATTTTGCCATTGATATTCACTGTTAAGCAAGTAGTTCCTAAATCTGCTTAAAATCTAAGAGGGGAATTTGGTACATTCATGTTGAAATTATTTCCTTAGGCACCTCACATATGGTCTGTATTCCTTGTCTCTGGGAATTTAAAGGTTTATTTTGCAGGATATTTTCTGTCCTATGATTTTTTTCACAACGACGATTAAAAATGAAGTGATAATACTAAATTTTGTGAGAGGCAATAAAGTTGAGTTTAAAAGGAAATTGTCAAGGGATGTAATTGTACAGTGGCAATGGAGAAGAAATAGCTCCATTGTGGGAACTGAGAGGATGTCTGGAATGTGGCCAAAGTTCATGTTGTAGAAAGTACATCAGACTGCTAGGAGACAGCAGGTGGTGAGGGTTTTAAGGATCTGTCTTAGGGTAAGAAAATGGATTGTAGGACCACAGGATAATTAATGTGAGAAAAGACTTAAGGAGGTGTAAAGGAAGATTAACTGTGAGGCCGGATCAGGTTGCCCAACGCTTTATCCAGTCAGGTCTTGAAATGCTGGATGGGCCTCTCCAGGCAACCTGTATCTAGTCAAAACCTCTCTTTCCTCCCCTACCATAAGAAGCGTGTTTCTGTTGGTTTTTGCCACTTAGGACCTGACATCTTGGGGGCACCGAGTGCTTCAAATTTCTAAGACATTAAAAGTAGTGTGTCCGTTGTGCCAGGTGAGCTCCTGGTAACAGCAGTCACTGTTGACCTTGTGATCTAACAAGGCGATGAACTCAGCTCTGTTTTTAAAAAGTAATGAACAGCAGTGCAAAGGGAGATTCATCTTGGAGCTTGGGTATCAGTTTTGTAAGTGTGGCTCTCGTGTATTGGCCCACCTGTGCACAGCCTGAGCTGACAAGTTTAGTGGTAGCCTGTGATGTTTTTACCATTCTGTTGTGACTTCACTGTGAACATACTTCTTAAAGGCTAACAAAACATTACAATGGCAGTACAAGGTGAACTTTAAAAGGCGATTCTGTTCTTTCCTACCATTTAAAAAAAATATTTTTCAAACTTAAAAAGCAAACAGTGTTCCTGCTGAACTGAATCATTACTGTGGTGTTTAAAAATGGGCTTTTAGTGGAGAAGATTAATCCTGTGTGCTTTTTGTTTCCTCATTTTTTTTTCAGGGGTTGGAAAGACTACTTTGATCCAGAAAGTCACTCAAGCTCTGAAATCCTCAGGCATTTCCATTGATGGATTTTACACAGAGGAGGTTAGAGAAGGTGGCAGGAGAACAGGATTTGATGTTGTCACTTTGTCTGGAAAACGAGGACCTTTATCTAGAGTCAGGTACTGAGGTTTCAATGGCTGTAACTGGCTTGTAGTTTTATATTTCTGCTTCACCTGTCAGTATGTTAAATGCTCTTCCAGAGGTGATTTCCAGCACACATATGGCTTTCATGGTCAGGTTCTTTGTTCAGTTCCTGTGTCCTGGCTGATACCTGTATTGTGTGTGTAGACAGTGTCTCTGTTGCATAGTGAAATACTGAAAATGTGCTAGGGAAGGGAGTTCTCTCTTACTGCCTGTTTTACACGAGACAGGGAGAAAGCACTGCTGAGCCTTTTATTGCGAAGGCAGGTCTCTTTGGGATAAAGTAGCTTATTGTAGCAGGGAGGAGGGTTTCCACCAGGTAATTTATAAAGACAGAGTGGAAAATAAAAGGAAAATTGCATATAACACTTTAAAAAAAGAGCCACTGACTGGCCCGCAAAACCCACAGGTGAATTTTAAGAAATAAGAGTGTTTCAGAGCCCCACTACGAAGGGGGCTTCTGAAATGCAGAGGAGCTCACAGTTTCTTCTGATTCATTAGACTTAGCATTTCATGCTTTGTGCAAAATTTAGTCTAGGTCCAGGTGTGACATGATCACCTCATTTAGATGTAGTTGATCTGACTGAATAATTGCATACTGCTAATAAAGGAAGTTCACCTGGGATAGTGCGATGCAGCACATGCCAGCTGAGTATTTTCTCCAAGATTGTCTGAGAGTTTTGCAGCCCATACTGAGATGAGGGCTACTGCAGTGATGCTGTCTGTAGTGCCCCATTATGAAATTCAAAGATCAGAACTGCAGGCATGTATTTTGATTTCAGTGCAACTAAACCTGCTGGGATTTAGGTGCTATTGTCCTTCCATACACTTCAAATTTGAGCTTACATAGTTGTGAAGGTAGCTCATGGTATGTTTATTCTCTGAAAGTACCCTCTCTGCAATATGACTTAATGGATGATTTACAGAGTTTCTTACCTTTTCTTAGAAGAATTAAGGGAATTTGATTAAGATAACTTCTTATAAATCCTCTTGGAATGGCTGCAGTGAATTCTCATGAAACTCATCACTTAGAAGTAATTGTGTGTCTATTTCACATTCAGTTCCGATTCTGCTACTTCAAGACGTGAATATCGGGTTGGACAGTATGTTGTAGACCTTGTTTCATTTGAGCAGTTGGTTCTACCTATGCTGAGAAATGTGAGTATTCTATGAAAGCTGCTGAAAAATTAATGCTTTATAATAATCAGTGTTCTTGGAAGGCCCTTCTAGAGCACTAGTTTTTGATATTAATAAATGGCCTGTTTATTGGCTATCACTGGTCTATTTCCTGTCCTTCTAACATTCTGTTACTGAATTTTCCCTTCTCCTTCCTCTCTCTCACTCCAACCTTTCCCTTCTCCAAAATTAAACAAGAACAGATTGGATTTTGGCAATAAGATAACACAGTGTGCAGCAGCTGCTGAATCATAATTCTAAAAAATTCCTATTGTGATTTTTCTATACTACTAATGCTCAAGGGCCTAAGGAAGAAGAGAGTTCTTAATGAACTTGGAAAGAACAAAAAAACAGATGCAAGAAGCAAAAATGAGATTGAGGATCTGATTCTTGTTTTTGTCAAGGAACATTCAAATGTGAGAGTAGGGAAGCAAAGACATTGGGGGCAAAAGAGATGGGAAATACCAATAAAATGGGACGATTTTTGTATCGTTTAGTTTCACTGTAACTTAATTTACAATTTTAGTAAAGAGAAGGACAGAAAGCTAATTATTCAGAGAGAAATGCTGGTTTTGACCCTCCTTTGACCCAGCTACAAGAGGAGAAACTTCCAAATCTAGATTTAATGCAAGCCATTTTTTTTAATACTTGTGTTGTGTAGCTATTGATCTAATCTGAATGCATAATTTAATGGGAAGGGTGAAGTTATGAAAAATTGGTGGCCCTTGGATTGATTGAAAGCTGCTAGTATGCAAAGAGCAATTCTTAATTGTCAAAGAGCTTGTATGGAACCATTGAGAATTCTGCTTTGAAGGAGAACTGGTATTATGGATATTTTGTATTGCAGTTGATATTTATGATGTACATGTATTTTCATCTTTCCAAAAATCTGTGCCAAAATACAAATTATAGATTTCTAAGTCTCACAGTTACCCAACAGCAGCTTTGACTCTTCCAGTTTCTCCAGTCACTCCCATTGACTTGATTTCTTTTGGAGGTATTTCTTTATTAGCATAGACATTCTTTCTGTTGCTTGTTCGGAATTCTGTGCTGTTTATATAGTCTCTTGCTGCACTTTTCCACAGGTAAACCATGGCAGTGATGCAGAGAAAAAAATTTGTGTCATAGATGAGATTGGTAAAATGGAGCTCTTCAGCCAGGCTTTTATTCAAGCTGTTCGTCAGACGCTGACTGGCTCGGGGACCGTGGTGCTTGGAACTATTCCAGTACCAAAGGGAAGGCCACTGGATCTTGTTGAAGAAATACGAAGTAGGAAAGATGTTAAAGTGTTCAATGTGAGTAAGATTTGGTATCCTTAAAAGAGCCTTCTGTTTGAGGTCGCTGGTTTGTATTTGGCTCTGTTTAAAAACTAATCATTACTACCAGTTGAGAGCTGTGGGTAACTTGTGTGAAATAAGTTTCTTAGTTTCCATTTGATTAGTAATGGGCAGGTGTTCACCTTATTAAAAAAAATCACATTTGGCTCTTAGTGTAGCAGTCTCACACAGCTGGCTTTGCTTGTGAGGAGCTATAGAAGTATTGGTACAGTTGTTTTAAAAGGCTTCCTTGCTGTAGTATTATTGCTGTCTAAGTATTCATTATTCCTAAGAGTTAAATCTTTTAAAGTATAGTCAGAATTGAATTTATTATTTTTTCTCAGACTGGGTCACAGAAATATTACCAGCAATCTTATTCAAGGAAAAAAAAAAAAGGCAGCAGTGGAGTCTGCAGAAATTATTTCTAGAAGAAAGACGCTTGTAAATGGGCTGTGCTTTCTCTGGAGTCAGTGAACCCATTTTGGAATGAATGATGTTATTTTTATAGGCGTAATTCTCAGAACATTAGGACATAAAAGTGCATTTCTGGTCAGTTATGGGGTCAGTCTGGTCAGTCACTCTCAAACACTACAACAAAACATCCTGTTCACAAGAATACATGCGTGAGGTTTCCTTAACATCTGTAAGTGTCCTGGATGCTTCAGAAAGCAAGCTAAATGCAGCTCCCACTCCTTTGATTTATTTTTCTGCTCAGTGTGTACTATTTGTAGGAGAGAATAAAGCTATGTATCCAAAACTGAGCTGTGCATCTCTCTAAATTATAAATTCAGTAAATGGGACTTAGAAATCCCAGCTTACTAACAGGGGTGGTGTGCTGCAGAGCAGGATGCAGTTGCAGCTTGTTCTTTAGCAGATGCAGGTCACAGTGAAAATGCCTATTTTGTTTTCATCCAAGTGAATGAGGGAGGAAAAAACACTATCTCAGCAGCTTTATACTGAGTGATCTTAATTACTGCAGAGAAAGCAAGGCCATCTTCTGTTTTCCTCTTCAAACTGAGATTGACCTAACTGCAAGTGCTCAGAAAAGTTCCTCAGCTTTCTTTTAGTTGATTGTCCCATCATCATCTTCAATTTATTTTCTCTCTTTTAAATTAAATTCCTGTTTAATCGAGTGCTAAAGCAATCGTAGGAGTGAAGGCGAGAGAAGATTCCTTTCCCCACATAAGCATCCAACTCCTACCGTTCCTTTCCGAGATAAAGCGCCAGGTTTCCCACAGACAAACTGATGTGTGTTTGTTGTCAGGCTGCTGAACATGGATGTGAATTTTATATGGTTTGCTTTACAGTGGTAGAACTGAGGGAGAGGGAATGGAGAATGCCTCACTGACAGTAACATTCTGTGCTTAGGCTGCAGTCATGGCAAGGCAATGGCAAGTGTGTGTTTATTCCCCTCAGGGGAGGAAACAGGGTGATAGAAAAGAGCGTTTGGCTTTCCAAGGAAGCTTTAGAGGCTTCCAGTGTCTTTTTTTTATCAGGTGATTTTCTGAGGGCCTGTGCCACTCAGCCCCACGTTGTTACCTGTGTCAGCCTGCCAGTACATCACAGAATCACAGAATGTTAGGGGTTGGAAGGGACCTCTGAAGATCATTCAGTCCAACCCCCCTGGCCAGATCAAGACCAAAAGCTAGGGCAGATCACTCAGAAAGGCATCCAGACAGGTCTTGAAAGTCTCCAGAGAAGGAGACTCCACAACCTCTCTGGGCAGCCTGTTCCAGTGCTCTGTAACCCTCACAGTAAAAAAAGTTCTTCCTCATGTTGAGATGGAACTTCCTGTTCTCAAATTTGAATCCATTGCTCCATGTCCTATCACAGGGCATAAGTGAAAAGAGCTTGTCCCTGCCTTCTTGACTCACAGTCCTCATGTATTTATAGACATTAATCAGACCCCCCCCTCAGTCTCCTCCTCTCTAGACTGAAAAGCCCTAGGTCTCTTAGCCTTTCCTCGTAAGGCAGGTGTTCCAGTCCCTTAATAATCCTAGTAGCCCTCTGTTGCTTTTAAGTACTGACTACAGCCAGCTGAAGTCTTCCTGTAAATTTCAATGAAGCAAAGTTTTCTGTAGCTAAAAAAAACCCACTTAAAAAAAATGCTGCTGAGATTAGGGTGTTCAGGTTTCTTTGTTTAAATAGAGTTCTCTGGTGAATCCATTAGCCAGAACCATGGGTGTGAAATGTGTGACAGACTGCAGTAGTTCCCAGGTGGCAGAGACCTGCTATGCTGAAGTCTTGTGCATGAGAGCATCTGTCTCATTTGCTCCAGTGACACACTACATGCTCTTTCCCAGCTAGTTAAAACGTGTGCATGAGCAGGAACAGGACCTGCCTGTGGGGAGTTAGAGGCTTTACTAGCTGAGGTAAATACTGGATCACCAGCTATGTTCTGCAAGAGCCATGGCATGGGGAGAACCTGGAATGCCCAAATAGCTCATGGTCAGTAATTTCTAACTAACTTTTATGGTGCCTGGAAGTGTGCAGAAGTAGGTGGCTACCTTCCAAAACAGTTCTGACTGCTTTATCACTTAATAGGGAGTTAGGCTTCATTCAAGTAATTTGGCAGAGTTTTCTCATCTTTCTCTTAGTGTCACAAGGACAGCTCTGGTGTTTGACACTAAGTGCATCCAGACAGCTGTTTGGGGTTTTATGGTCCCTTCTGTCTTGAAAGCATAGTCAGCTGCTGCAAATGCACCCAGATGCCCTAAAAGCAGTTGAGGATTTGGTCCCAAATGTTTAATTGATTATGTTTAGAGCACTTAATGATAGGAGCTCTGATATTTAACACATTTTTTTCCACTGTTGCCCAATTCCATTTTGCTGAGAACTAAACTTACGAGTGAAACTACAGAGGCTCTTTTTGTGCTGCCCAGGTCTACACAGTTTTGCAGACATGGTGTCAGAAATAGGATCAGATTATCCTTAGCAGCTGGCACATACTCATTTTCTTCTGTTTTCCCATCTATTCATTTTGCTTCCATGAAACCCATTAGTGATGTTATATGGGTCAGAGAAGAAAAGGTTCCATCTGAACAGACTCTACAAGAAGTATTTCTTTGACAGTACTTCATCAGCTATGGGAAGAAAGTTTTTGTCCTCTACTTGGAGGACTGCTTGGAGTCGAGGTGGTAGTTTCTTCCAGGTTACCTAAATGCTTTGTATAACCAGTACCTACAGTTATTTTCAACTAAAAATCTATGCATCTGTTTGTACATTCAGTTCAGATACTGGGAGATTTGTTCTCTCTGGGAAAGCTGCTTGCATAGGATGCCTCCAGGCCTTACGAGGAGATTTGTATCTATCAAGCAGCCTTTGTAAAACACATAGGGAAAATTTCCCAGCACTTGGTACTTTTTCCCTGCTGCTCTCAATGGACTTCTGGCATGTAGGTATGGAAAAGGGATAGATAAAATGTAGTATTGTATTTGTTGGCTGACACACAGTGGGAAGAGCTATCAAATGTTCAGAAGGTCTTTTGAAAGTTGGGAAATTGGAACACTTGCTGTGAGATTTAGAGTTTGGCTGATCTGTGCTCTGTGCCTTGTTTACCTTGTTGATGTTTCAATAGCCTTAGTGAACAGCAATTCCATTCTTTGTTGTCTTGCTCTCTTTGGTTTTCTGGGGTTTTCTGTTGTCTTATAATAGGCTTTGGATATACTCAATAAAACCAGCAATGTTTCCAGGCAGATCTTTGCTTTCATTCCCTTTTTTTTTGTTTTGTTTTGTTTTTGGTTTTTTGTTTGTTGTTTGGGTTTTTTTTTAAATGTCACCATTTCATCAGTCTCGTGTAGATCTGCTCTCTTGAATTCAAGTGGCATAGGTGAGAGAGCCATCTCTGGGTTTTACTGTGTTGGGTTTCCAGCATTTGGATAGGATGTCTGTGACTGTAAACCTCAGAAGGCTCCTAGGGCCAAATTCTTCAGGTAGGACTGTCACCTATTAAAAACCAAACCAGACCCAAACAGCTTTCTCCTAGTCAGTATTTGCTGTAGTACTGGATGGGATACAAACCCTTGTGCTGAGATCTTAAATGCAGCTGCAGGGAATGCAGTGAAACGTTGCTGGTAGAATTCTATGCCAGGCATAATGCAGTGTCCCTCCTTCTTCATCAAACAGCATTTCTCAAACTTTGTTAAAAATATGTACATTTTTACTTTTTTTGGCTCATCCATCTTTGTATGATTTCTGACTGCCCTCTCTGCAGGGATCTGAACGGTGGGGGAAATTTAGGCTTTTTAAAATGAGGCTTTTGCTGACACTTCACAATTGGTTGTTAACCCTTGCACCACCCCAGCCATCTCCCCAGGTGTTGGTTGAGCTAGTGATGCATGGCACTGTGGGTCACTGGGTGCTGTATCAGGACCAGGTCTACTAGAGGGGTAATTTACACCCGCACACCCCTGACAACTCTGTGCTCTGTGGTTGCTGCAGCTGGGAGCTGAGCTGAGTAGCCAGAGCTAACATTTGCTTGGCAGTTTGCAGTAGTCGCACATGCTGCAATGCAGGTGGGGCCAGCAAAAGACATGAGACTGGACTGCATGGATTTTCACATGTACTGGTTTTAAAACCCAACATTTCCAGGGACTGGTTAGCCAAAGGTGTACCTCAGCGTGCTATGAAAGCCCCCCAGCTTTCTCAAGTAGTCTTATTTCTTTCTTTTACAAGGTGTTTCTATCCTGCAATGGTAAGGTTTCTCAGATACAGTGTTTCACTTCTAAGACTGTTGTAATTTTTTTTCATTGCAAATGTTTTTGACTAGGTCTGTCATCCTAATAAATACAACCCTTTCAAGTACTGAAGGCATCAAACCACTTTATAGTAGGAAAATTGTGTTTCATAATTGGAAATAATTTCTAGTAATGACAAAAGTACATGCTGGTTCTTCAAGTAATTCTTGTTAGTTATTGAAGCTCTGAGTAATACTGCAAAATACCATGGGTAATTAAATCAAAAAGATCACTGAATATTCCATTAAATATGCAGGTTTGTGGATTTGGCTTATTGTGTTCTCAGTAGAAGAAGGCAGGTGTCTGACACTCAGCATTCCTCTACTGAGAAAGAAAAGCATTGGAATTTCTGCTTTGTTTTTGAAGTAAACACTGATACAGAGGTTGTTCATCCAATTACATCAGTTTTAATTTCTTTTTCTCTAGGTTAGTAAGGAAAACAGAAACAGCATTTTGCAAGACATCTTGGCAGCTGTGGAATCCTGCAGAAAATGAAGACCTTTTCTTGCCTGTAAACACTAAAGCTTTTATTTTAACAAAGCATTACGATGTTTTGCGGATGTTTTAGAGTCTGTCCTTCCTGCATTAGCCCCTGGAGGCTTTACTGGAGCCTTCAGGGTAAGCAGAGTAAAGCTGGTAATACTCTAAAATGTGAAAATGAGATAGCAGGGTTCTTGTTTATTCAGTTCACAAGCAAATCTATTAAAAAATTGAACAGATGCATAGTTAACATGCAGTTGTAATCTGAGTATTTGGAAGATAGGTAGCCTGATCCTAGTTACACCATGTAAAACCAGTTAACTGTCAGAAATGTTTGAGATCTTAGTCTTTCAGAGCGTGGTTGTGGACTGTTCTGCATGGAGAGCAATTCAGCATCTGAAATTTCACCCTGGTGTAACAGAACAGAACCCTGCCTAAAATGTGTGTGTGCTCTGCCAGGTGTATGTAGAAATACCTTTGCTGTTGGTGACCCAGCTTAGGTGTATCCAGGTGTGTTTCAATGTGGGTGCTGATGTTTCAGGAGGTGAAAGGAATAAGCAAGTGCTTCTCCCCTACCCCCAGACACCTCTTTCTCCAGTTGCAGCATAAGAAGGGTCATCTAGAAGTTCAAGGTAATTTTCTGTATTTCCAAGTGACATGTGCAGAATTCCACTTCAGGAGGAAAAATAACCAACTCTGCCCTCTCCTAAGTGGCCTAAATAGTACTTGCTAAAAGTTATTGGAAAAAAAATAATAAAAAAAAAATCTTCAAGTCCATGAAGTTCAGTCAAATCTCAACTTATGTTTTTCATGCAGTTTATTAAGTCAGGATCAACTTAATACTGCATTTGTCTATATGGGTTTTACAATCTGTTATGTTTATTGATACTTCCGGTTTGGTTGGGATTTTTCCTTTTTCAGTTCCTTACTTGCTTAATGGTTGGTGGTGAAATAAGAAGTGTTTGGGAGTACTAGGCAATGTGTTTCCCTAGGAGGTGTGCAAATGTATTCAGGAAAAGTGCTACAACTTGATCAATTTTTCATGTTGTGAAATCAGAATTCCCTCTGGGTGCACACTTGTTCATTGTACCATTCATAGTCATATCTGTCTGTAAAAAATGGTTAAGAATTCTGTCATTTCTTAGCTTGTTTTCTGTTCAGCTCAAGAACTGTTAAAATGAGCAAACTTATATAAAGGCATTTTCAAATATCCTTTTAGTTATTTATTTCAGTAAAACTGACACCGAAGGTTGTAGGGGATGGTTTGGGACAGGCATTTTTATAGGTGCCGTGGAAACAGCTGGGAGCATGGAAGGAATGTCCTTTCTCTTTCCTATATCCAGAACAAGGGTCTGGTACAAGCCTTGCCCCTGCACAGGTGGTAGGAGGTACATGCCACGTTCAAGGGTGACATGGCTGTGTTCCCTGTTACACTGCCCTTCTGCCCTCATCCCTTTGGATTGTACTACTGTGCTCATCGTATCTGAGTAAAAGAGAATTCCCCTTATAGTCCCACTTCTTAGAAAATGTACATCATCTGGCTGTGTTTTGCAGAACAAGGCCCTGCCCTGAAGGTCTCGGTTATCCCTTAATAACTTCAGGCATTTTACTCAGACAAGACACCTTGCTAGGGGTAAAGGACTTGGGACCAAAGTAAACTTTTTCAGGGCTATGTATCATAGACTTTTGAACAGAAATTTCTGTGCTTTTGAATGTTGGATGTCCCACTGTTGTAATGTTAAGTCTCTTAAGCTGTAAAACATGCTGCAAAAGAGTAGTTCTTTCAATGATAAATAATTACCTGAAGTCTAGCAACGTTTTAGTGGGATGGCAGTTAAGTCTTAAATGAAGACTGACCGTTAAAGCTAAATAAAATGCAGAACAGTCATGTCAGGCCTTTAAATCTGAGACAGTCCTGAAGAAATAATTTGCCTGGTTCAAATATACATCCAGTGAGTAAGAAAGTGGTATTTCCAACTGAACTTATTTTATATGACACCCTGTGTTTACGTTAGAGGTAAAAATATACTGTCTGGTCTTGCACTAGTGAAATATTTGGAAGGCCTTGAGAGGACTGTAATAACAAACAGAGCATTCACAATTCCCCTGATGGGCCAATTTTCCTAATAGCACACATTTGGTGAAAATCACCTCTGATGTACCAGCGAGATTCCAGATGATGACGACAACAGTGCACCTGCAGAAAAGGAGAGAATATGAGGTACCAATTACTCCCTCTCAAAGCTTGAGAATCAAGGATGTTTTTGGCAGGGAGGCTTGTCATTCCAACATAAAATTGCACACAGCATAGAATAAACAGAGCCTGCATTATTTATCACATTAGACAATTTTTTCCTTGTAAACCTCTGAGAAGGCTGAATGAGAGAGGTGAATCTTTAACAGTGGACGAACTGCAAAGTTAATTGTAAGTAATATCTGTGTTGCAGATTGAAGGATGCACAAGCACTAGCGAAACATTGTAATTAAATACCAGCTCCCAACCCAGGGAGTCAAATAAATATGGCAGTAATTGGGCAGTCGAAAAACATGCACTGATGAGAAGATGATTATTACATGCTGGAGAATTTCACTGGTAATTCTAATCTTCTCAAATGAGCTGCACAACATTTAGCTGATCTTTAACTTGAATTCCCCTGCAAGAGAAGGCAGTTGGTGGGTTGGAACCAAATGCACATTTCTTGCTTTATTAAGTAGCTTTTTAAAAAAACACACTGTGAATGACATCATAGAGTTTCCTAAGAAGTAGTTTCAGGAGGTCACTCATAGATATTGAGAGTATCTGGCTAGCTTGTTGAGGGGAAAAAGACTCTCACTGGTAAGTCCTTTTGGTAACATTTGTCTTAAATGAATGCCAAGATTTTCTGTCTATGGGAAGAAGGTGAGACTTTTCAGCAAGAACTTCAGTTCCTCACACAGAAGTCTGTGTGACATTTCAAAACTGAGGGAACAGCAGGACCTCTGGCATTTGTATTTTTGGATAAACAGAAATGAACTTCATACACTGTGCCCGTCACTGTTTTCTGCTTGCTGGCTGTCATAGAGTTTCCTAAGAAGTAGTTTCAGGAGGTCACTCATAGATATTGAGAGTATCTGGCTAGCTTGTTGAGGGGAAAAAGACTCTCACTGGTAAGTCCTTTTGGTAACATTTGTCTTAAATGAATGCCAAGATTTTCTGTCTATGGGAAGAAGGTGAGACTTTTCAGCAAGAACTTCAGTTCCTCACACAGAAGTCTGTGTGACATTTCAAAACTGAGGGAACAGCAGGACCTCTGGCATTTGTATTTTTGGATAAACAGAAATGAACTTCATACACTGTGCCCGTCACTGTTTTCTGCTTGCTGGCTGTGGTGGGACAGCTGGGCTGAAGGCCAGGCTGGGGGCTTGCCGGCATACCTGGTGGATGTGAGCAGCTCAGCAGCCTGTGGTTGGCTTTGGTGAAATGCTACTAGAAGTCTTTTTACTAGAAGTCTGGGCCATGTTTCACCCTTAGGAGTGTAGCACCTGGCTTCTTCAGTGTGATTTCAACAAGACCCTATTAGTGAAAGGAAAGTTTAGGAAAACAAAATGGGAGGGGGGGTAAGTATCTCACATTTAATGTATGGGGTGGAAGTACTGTGTTTGTGCTTGTTTTCCCATGTAGTCATTGTCCCCCTTCCTGCAGCCTGCTGTGCTGCCTGTGCCTCTCTGCTTGTGGGGACCCTGCTGAGCCAGTGTGGATAGATAATTCCCAGTGTTTTCAGCAATAGGATCTTATCTGTGGTTAAGCTGGGGGGGCACAGATTAGGCCTCCATCTCTTCATCCCTTCTGACATTGCTGTTAAAGAACTTCATGTACCGAATGCTCTTATGGATTGAGGGCTTGATTTCCCTAAGGATGTGTTCAGCTTGCTAGCAAGATGTGATGTTGTTGCTGCTGCTGGGCCTTGGTCCTTGCTCAGCAGATCCAGAGGCTTTCCCCTTGAAGGGTTTGTGCAGCTGGTTCCCAGTCTGGTTTAATATGCTTGAGTTTGATACATAGAATAATTTAGGTTGATTTGGACTACTGGAGTTACTTACTTTTGATGGAAATTAATTCAGACTTAAGGTAAAGATGTGAAAATTGGAGGCCTAAGTGAGGCTAACTGCATATGGGAAGGTTTTTAGTGCTTTCCACAGCTGCCTGTTTGCCTTGTCTCCACACAAGGCAGGGTTTAGGAAGACAAAGTAGTCATAGTGTATCTTAGTAGACTGCCATGCAAAAGCCCCTAGGGCAGAAATGGGGCTGGTGGCTGTTAGTAAGAGCCCTCCACTTCCATTCTTCATTTGTAATGAAGCATTTCATGAGCAGGGTGGTGGGAGGGGAGGTAGGAATCTGCCAGAAATGGTCTGAAGGGAGCAGCTGTATTCCATTTCCTCTTCCACATCACACCTGGATGCTGGAGCAGACATTAGTAAGGCCTGAACTGCACTGATGACTCCGGGTTTCTCAGGGATCTGTACACAAATACTCTGCTTTTGTCCTTGTGAACATGAGCAGAATGTTGCCTGGGTTGTGCTGAGTTTTATAAATACCCAATTCATCACAAGCTGAAGTGAAAGAAAATAGGTTTCTTCATTTCATAAGGCAGAAAGCAATTGAAAACCATTAAAAAGAAAAAAGAAAACCCAAAACCAGCTGCCACACGGAACATACTTGGATAATTTTATTTTCACTGGTGTTACTTAGTTCTACGACTTATAATCTTAAGTGTGGCACAGTAGGAAGCTCAGAATGCAACTGTGTATCTCCTAACAGTAATGAGAATTAGCTACAGTGTCTCTTGTTAAATCTTTCTTGTTAATTGGGACAAGACAGCCTGCCTGCACATGATTGTGTTGTGAATCAGAAACAATCTGTGGTAGTTACAGTAAAGAGGAACAGCAAGACACTGATGGCTGCAATTTTTTTTAATTAAAAAAAAAAAAAAGACAAATGTGCATGTGTTTAGACGCTATAGTAGAGGAAGGGTCTCTTTTAGCCTTTTTGGCTTCCAAAGTAGTCATGCGTTCCTGTAACTCAATGTTTCTCAAACTTTGTGAAAGCACGGCCTCCCTTTTTGTTTCCGCTGTCTTTATGCAACTACTGAATTGGCAGCAGCTCAGTTTCTCTGGGGCTGGAAAAGTAGAAGGCTCAGTAATTACTGGCTACAAGTCTGTATGGATGCTGAGCTGTGTCCAGCAATTAAAGGCATTTAGCTGTTCCCTTCCTAATACAAATACTTCCAGACAGTAATTACAGCCTGCTTTGCACTTTCATGTCCTTGAGGAGAATCCCTCTGGGCCCTTTTGCAGCTCCCAAGGGGGCTGTTGCCTGGAATTAGAGAAACACTGCTGTACACCAAACAGGAGCATGAACTAATACTTAAGAGCAGCTGTTTATGCAAAGCTGCTTTCTTTGCAAATAAGGTGCACCGTATGCTTTGAAGGCTTTCCATGCACTGGATACTTTCTTTTCTCACACTGGACTTGTAGCATGGCTCATTCACACTATTTCAATATGGCTGCATGCAGTATATCAATTTGTGATGATATGTTGCCATTGAGAATTACTGCCTGCTTCATGTGTTAAAGAAAAAAGATACTTGCTGTTGGAAAAAAAAAATCAGATTTAGCTCTAATGTTACAGTACATACTGTACTGTCCTTTTATGTATTCATTGCTTCTGTCTAACGTTGCCTTTTGCTATGCTTTATATATCAAATGCCAATTAATTTGCATGCAATAAGCTCTTCAGTTATGGCAGGAAAGAGATGTCTTGTGTGCTTTTCACTGAGTTGTTTTAATATTTCCTACTGTATTCATTTGTGATTCCGACTGTTCCAGGGGAAGGAACGTTCAACAGGTTGTATTACTTGTTCTAGGATTTACAAGAACCTGAGATGAAGTGGCACTGTGTGGCTGTTTAGGACATCTTCCAATCCTACCCATGCCAAAGCCTTTATCTGAGGAACATCTGCCCTGTAGTATTCCTGTGTTGAAGTTAGAAAAATAAACATTTGGAGGTTGCTTGTTACTTCTGAAAAAACCTAAGCCCATGTGCAGCTCCCTGACCTAACTCTGTCTTTATTTAAATCTAAGTGCTCGGCCCTTGCACTAGAAGTGCTCCTTACTGATCCTCAGACAGGCTTTGCTGAGAAGCTGTGTCTTCCAGAGCCATATCTTCTTGGCTGGCTCTTCTGCACTCCAGGTTCTGACTCATGAATATGGCAGGGGCTGGACCTGCCTCTTGCTGCAGCTTGGGTTCTGGAGCATCTGTTGATTCACAGGTCTCAGTGTGTTGCTGGAAAGAAAGAAAAAGTCAACTAGTTTAGGAAACTTCTAAGCTATTTTTTGAAGTGACAGGAGAAAAAGTTAAAAATTGATGTAGGAATGTCATTCTGTGAAACTGCATGGGGTTCTTAATATACATTATTCACAAGGGACTTCTGAAGAGGCACTTGTCACACTTTTGGAACACATACTTTTGGAAAGAAAAGCAGATCAGGAACTAGAGGTTTAGTACCACAGATGTACGTGTATAGAGACCTGTAAAATAATTTGAATTGAAAAGGACTTCTGGAAGTCATCCAGTCCAAACTGCTGCTCCAAGCAGGGCTAATTTCTAATAAGTTAAATCAGCTGCTCTGGGGATTGCTTTACACACCAAATTTTAAATCCAACTTACAAAGAAACCTTTTCAGCAAAACTGGAATGCAATTATCTGTCTGAAAATGTTATATGTAGTGTCACCCCACTGTAAGGAGTCCATTAGTAGAAAAGCTTCCCAGAACTGTGAACATTTAAATAAAACACTTCCTCTTTACCACTTTCAAGCAAATAGGCAGCTGGCCCTTGAGCAGGTACTTAGGCCAGGACTCACCTCATCTAAATTTAACTGTGTAGCCTTAGTGTATCATCTAGGCTGTCAACAGTTGGCAGAGAGGTAGGAGGAAAGGAAAGGTTTCTTCTAAGGATAAAGTAGATTGTCTTCTCCACTGGCTACAGAGGCCACACTAACAATCTACTGAGACTTCATGCCCAAATTTTAGATGGCTTAAAGTTAGATCAAGTGAAGCCTACCATTAGTAGTCAGTATTGCAGACTGGCTGAGTTCTAGCAAGTTAGGCTATAAACTCTTGAAAGTTGGAATTATGACATTCTGGTATATTCAGCTGTATGTGCAGAAATACTGTTAATGCTCCTTAGAGAAATAAAGCAGGCTTGGGCCCAGATGAGTATAATTCAGTCAACTTCTGTTAAAGTTCATGGAAAAATTCCAGGGAACTATACCATACATGGTGTTTTTTGGGTTATGAGCAAAATACCCACAGGCCAAGGAGGTTTGGAGAATTCTTTGAAAATTAGGGAAGTTATACACAGTTCAGAATGAAAGTAGCAGAAAAGTGTTTTGGACTTGCCATATCCACAGTTTTGCCCTGTTGCCAATTTGGTTTCATTTTGACAGGCCAGATGTGAAAGTCTGTCTTAATTATGTTGCCAGTCAACCCCTAGTTGCACTTGCCCTTTAGTGCATCTCCTCACCTTACTGCTCCATAGTGCTGAGGTGGGAGTTTCAAAATTCAGGAAAGCAACTGATGGTAAACCAAAGTTACATAAATGCACTTATGTAGACAATGAAACAATAACATTATTATGTGCATTGAATTTTCCAGGGAAGATGGGAATAGAACTGGGGGCCGCCTGGGAAGAGGGCTGGAAGTCCTTTGTGTCTGCTGTTTCGCTGTTAGAAAATGCCAACTCACAAGGCATGCAGGTTCCCTTTGGGAAGCATTTCCTGCAGACTTCCTTTGACTAACCCTCGCAGAAATGAGGCTTTCAGGTCCTGAATTAAGTTTCTGGTTAGAGAGATGGGCAGAACAAGTGCAGTGTTCAGTGGGAACTGTTCGTCTTTGTACAAATAATTAAGCTCTGCATAAGCATGAAAGGAAGGAGCTATTTGATCTGCTTATGATGGTGCTCATCACCTGGGCTGCAGAAAAGAGAGACCTAAGTCCTTGGGGTCTGAGTGAAAGGAAGAGTGACTTTGCCCCATTTTGTGATTTCAGGTGCGTGTTTAACAGCCAACCTGTCAATCACGTACAAATACATCACTGTCATACACACAAATAATCAACAGTCTTCTTTTCATTGTGATAACAGCAAGATTCAAAAGAAATACCAAAATCCTGACATTGTTTTGGAAAATAGTATTTTATATCTGGGGGTACTACAGGATCAAAAGCTGGACATGAGCCACCAATGTGCAGTTGCAGCCCAGAAAGCCAACTGTATCCTGGGCTGTATCAAAAGAAATGTGGCCAGCAGAGGGAGAGAGGTGTCTCTGCCCCTCTACTCTGCCCTGGTGAGACCTCACCTAGAATACTGCATCCAGGTCTGGTGCCCCCAGCACAAGAAAGATGTGGACCTGTTGGAACGTGTCCATAGAAGGACCACGAAAATAATCCAAGGGCTGGAGCACCTCTCTTATGAGGACAGGCTGAGGGAGGGTGGGTTGTTCAGTCTGAAAAAGAGAAGGCTCTGGGGGGACCTTACAGCAGCCTTCCAGTACCTGAAGGGGCTACAGGAAAGCTGGGGAGGGTCTTTTTACAGGGGCTTGCAGTGAGAGGACAAGGGGTAATGGTTTTAAGCTGAAAGAAGAGAAATTTAGGTTAGAGATCAGGTGTAAATTCCTCAGTGTAAGGGTGGTGAGACACTGCAACAGGCTGCCCAGAGATGTTGTGGGGGGGTCCATCCCTGGAGGTGTTCAAGGCCAGGTTGGATGGGCCTGTTCTAGTGGAAGGTGTCCCTGCCCATGCAGGGAGGCTGGAACTGAATGATCTTCAAGGTCCCTTCCAACTCCAAACATTCTGTGATTTTCTGACCAGTGAAAAGGAAGGAACCAAAGGGTGGTGAGGACAGTTCAAGAACCTGACAGGACAGCAGTACAGTGGCTCACCCTTAGAACTGCCATTTGGGCTTCAGCCTTACCCGAGTTGCTTGATTTGCTGCTCTAGCAGATGGACCCATGGCGATGTTCATGCTGCTGGATGACTGGGTGTCACTGGTGTTACCTCCATCTGCAGCTGAGAGCCCAGAAATCACCAAAGCACTTGAAAAACTTCGCTTGCCAAAGAGCAGGCTGAGAGTGGAACTGGTGGAAGAGGCCAGACTGGACCTGAGCATTGCTGCAGCCCGGTCCTGCACAGTCAGCTGGCCAGCAACAGGAACAGCAGGGGACTGGGAAAACACAGATGTTGCTGAGTTATGAAACGACAGCTGACTACTAGAAAGCCTTTGGGCAATTTCGTGGGCAGATGTAGATGTTTGGATGAAAGGCTGGTGGCTTTCTACAATTGGTCCAGAGTGACTTGAAGCAGGGGGCCTTTGGTTTAAAGCAGGATGTGCCTGGATGGACTGACTCCGGGGTTTTCTCCTGCCTTTAAAAGAAAATTAATAGATTTAAGTCAGTGGCATCCTGATGAATTCCATGCTATTGGCAGTTCCTGTGTGTACATACTACTATTAGCATATTACTACTGGTTTTATCAGCATAAGAATCCCAAGAGTAACAGAAATAACAAATTGCTAAACCTATGAACCTTTCTGTGTTTTCCACTATGGAGGTTCTGGCTTTTGGTCAGAATAGCTGCAGTGGTTCTGCACTGAGTCAAAAGAGGCGAGTGAGAAGACATCCCAAGGAAAGTACTCTAATCACAGGCTCACACCTCTTCTGCCATGTACATTTTAACCTGCCCAGTGAACAACTGAGCACAGTGCTGCTGAAACTCTACTCTCCTTGGACAACCACACTAAAGTAGGGGATGTTGGATATTCACCATAAATGGCTTAGTATAATTAAATGCAGAAATAAATAAAAAAAAACCCTGTGAGTTAAAACAGTGGCACATTAAAAAGAATCATTTCTTCATATGGGGAAAGAGAATTTGAGAATTCAACCCAATGGAAGACTACAGTATTTGAGCCACAAGACAGTTTTTAAGACTAACATTAAACTATATCTGAGTTCCAAGAATGATATTTTGAGTGTGTCACAGACTCAGATGATGTGAACAAGTCTAGTTGTCCTGGTTTGAGCCAGGATGAAGCCAATTTTTCTTTTTACTGATTTTTTTTTCCTTCAGTAAGCTTTCTTGTAGCTAGCAACAGTGTGTTCTGCTAGGCTGATAAGACAGTGGAATGTTTTTCTAACTACTGAGGCTTCAAGGCTGCACCTGCACTCTGCCGGCTCAGACACTATGGGGAGATCTGTGACCCCCCCCGTAGGAGGCTGAGTTAGATGGACAGCAAAATTGGCCAAAGATATTCCATTCCATATATCTACGTAAGCTCAGAGGAAGGTCAGAGATCACAGGAGACAACTTCCTTCCTTCTTCTTCTTCCCTTCTCTTCCGTCCATGGCCGGTGTCCAGGGAGGACTCTGTTCATCCATCACCGTCGATCCTCAGGCTTGATCTCTCCTGACCCCCATAACTCTCTGCTTTCTCCAGCAGCAGCTTCGGGATTCCTCAGGACTCTTCCCAGTTCAGGGAAGTGCTGTGGGAGTTGCTGAGGGTGGGGGGTGGTGAGAGGCTTTTGCCCATACCTGAATCTATCTGTATATAATTGTATATATTTTCTTGTATGATTCATTAGTGTTTTAATTAAAGCTGTGTAGTTTAGTTTTCAATCCGGCCAAGTCTCTCTCTTTTTCTCTCTCTCCTTCCCTACCTGGGTTGGGGGGAGGGGAGATCGAGAGCATTGTTGTCGGACCTGAGTCAAACTGTGACACTAGTTAATCTATGGGAAGTCTGAATGAGACCCACATAAGGCTTTTGCCCCATTCTGTGAAGCATCTCAGTGCAGCCATTGTAGGACACAGAGGGCAGATAAGGTGTTATGACCTTGCCTAGACTTCTATACTTCCTGTATGTATATGCCCCCATTTTAAACATTTATATCAAGACCTTCTGCCATTCAAACAAGATAATTTCTGTGTTCCTTGTGCTTGTTTAAATGTTTAAATAGGGATAGAATGTAAACTAAATCAACTTACTGGCCAGTGAACCCACCAGATACTTGCTTGCACTCTGCAAATGGCATGCAGGGGGCTGGCATGTGCCACAGGCCTGGAAGAGCTCCCTGTGTGCAGACAGGCTCTAACCCAGGCTTGCACAGCAAACACCCAGTCACGCAAGTGCTGCTTGGCTTTTTTTGCTTTCCAGGATACTTCAGATATTAACACAAGCTGGCATTTTGGTTTCCTAGCTAATATGTGAGGTAGAGAGTTGATGCCAGAATATCTTCTGAGAGCCATCAATGCAGAAACAAGTTTTTTATGGCAGGCATTTCCAGGTTGCTGGTAATTTTAAAAAGTTATTTGTTTTTTCCCAATACTCAAACTATGGAGAGGAGGGAAGCACTGAAAATCCTCTAGATAATAACATTTCAAAGGCACAAAGGAATATAAATCTCGTGCAATCTCCTAGAATCATGACTGCTTGCTGAATTCACAAGGCTCCTGGCAATGCAGAATTTCATATCCAAACTATTTACATTATATAGATGAAACATGCTGTTTTACATCCACAGAGCTGCTTCCCAGAGGCTGGTATCATTAGCCCTATTTCTCAAATTCTGCAGCAAAAGGAATTTAGGTAACTTGGCACAAAGGCAGGTGGTAGAGCTGGGCCACAACCTAACTGGAGCCCTTTGGCTGGACTAAAACCTACTTGGTTTGGCAAGCACAGAACACTTCCGCACTCCACTTGCTATGTATCTCTAGTTCTACTTTTATATTCCAAACAATAAACCCCATGATTTTCCTAAGATGGCATGCCAAGCAGCATTCTCTGCGATAAGAGCCCCAAGATCTCTGCTTGAGAGCAGCAGGACAGATGCCCATGGCTCCCTGTGTGCCACAATGCCAGCGACCTCTGCCCTCCAGACGTGACGGTGCCGGAGCACAGGCGCTGGGCTGGGGTCAGGCCTGGCTGCTGTGCTGGCAGCTGTGCCCACATCTGGCCTCCGTGGGGATTCTGGCTCTTCCAACTCCAGGCTTTTGTTTAAATGCTTTGGTTTCTACATCTGATGATTATTTTAATGTGTTAACCTTTTTAAATAAAAAGAACAGACTGGAATTAAGAACAGAGGGGCTGTGGTGTGTTAGTTTGTGTAGGGGCTAATGTGGCCAAACATCTGTTTGTGATTTAAACTGCCAAGCTGACCCCTGTCCAAAAGTATTCTATATTCATCCCAAATGCAGTGGTTAGAACATTGGACAGGAGACCACCCATGTCTACACATAAATAACTCTGTCCCTGAAAAGATTTAGGAAACAAAGGCTGTTCTATAAAGTCCATCATGAAATGAGGACACTTTGGGGGAGAACCCCACAAGTTTCCAATGCTCCTGATCTTGGTTGCACTTTTATATAGGGCTTTCATTGCATTTTGCAGACTTGGTGGCACCAGGCTGCAAAATGAAATATGAAATATGAAAACACTAAATGCACTTGATTAATAGATTCTGAGTCTAGAAGGGATTGCTGTGATCATTTAGTCTGCTGTGCTATATAGCATGGGCCATAGAACATCCTGGAATTCATTCCCGTATGGCATAATTAATTACTACCGTGATTTTGAAGAAATCCATCCAGTATCTCCAGTCATGGGGTATCCACCTTGACCCTTAGTCAGTTGTTTCAGTGTTTATTTACTCTCACTTTTAAAAATGTGCACTTAATTAAAAATCTGAATTTATTTAGCTTTGTTAAATGCAAGTCTGCACAAATCAGCCATCTTCGATCACCTTTTGTTGCCCAGGTAAGTACTTACAGACTATGATCAAAGCATGTCTTACAATATAAATAGTTTGAAAACTCCTAATATTTCACTACAGGATGTATTGCCCAGATCTTTGATCATTGTTTGGCTCTTCTTTGAACTCCTTCCAAATTAAAAAATGTCCTTCTTAAATTGGGCCGCTAGGACTGTGTGGCAGGGCATCAGTGTCCTGAACCCAGGGTCCCACTGACAGGTGTGCACTACCCAGGTCACCCTATTCATTCTGCTTTTCTAACAACAGGCACAGCATAGGTTCTTTTCCAGTCCCCTGGTATTGCCTTTGTGTCCTGATGCTTACGGAAAAAATCAGAGCTTGCTTTTTAACCAGTGCTCTTAAAAGCCTTCTAAAAACCAACACATAGCTTTGATAGCCACTCTTTCATGTTCTTTGTAGCAGTTAGGATGGAAGGAACTACTTCACAATCAGATCATAGAAAGAGATCATCTGCATTTTTCCCAATACAAACCAATAATTTATTTTCTCATTTCTGCATATTGGCATCTCTTTCTATATGGTGATGATCAAGACTACTCTTTGGATTTCTTTTGCTACTAATACTCTTTAAAAATAAACACTCACAAACCCACTTTCATCTTTTTGTCCCTAACAGTGCTAGCCAGAAACTTCTTGTATCAGCAGCCTCTCAGGACTAACACTGATTTTCATTTGCTATTTTCCATTTCCTTGCATTTGTGGTGCTTTTCTTCGTTTTACGTCAAAGCCAGGTTGCTTTTCTTAACTAAGTGTGACCTTATCTCTTGATCATGGTTTTCTGGGCAGCCAGTACTTTCTTTTAAACAACCTACAATTATCATTCATTATTGTATGGCATGCTCAGGATCATTATTTTACAATTAAGTTTGCCATTCTGATGACTGCAGTGTCAAGTTATGAGTATGCACATGAGGATTCCTCAAACAGCAGACTCAATTAAAAGCAGCAGTTATTTTATTCTTGCAACATGATTTATATTCAGGACAAGATTTTCTCCAGTCCTGTCCATTAAATTTAATGACAGGTCAAAATGATCTAACAGGAAACAAACAAGTATTGTACCCCTCTGCTTTAATTTATAGAAACTTCTTGAAAGGTTGAGTTAATTGACTTTATATTACAAGTTCTGATCCCAGAGTAATAGGTCTTACATTGACCCACTACCAAACTTAATGTTAGTTTTCAATGGAAAAGCCACTAGTTCTACCTTGTGAACATGGCTGAAATACTTTTGAATTTAATATGAGAAGCTGTTAGCTGACATTTCATGGCAACATTTCATTTTCTCTTGGGAACTGCTGTATAGACATAAAAAGTTATTTCCACTTTGTTTCTTCTTCACATGTGCTGATGAACAGCCAAACGAATTCCTCAAATAAATCATCATTGTCCTTCCAAGTAAATTAAGATGTTTTGCATACTTTCACTTCTGCTGTTCCCAGCCAACAAAAAGCACAGGTTCACCATGGTACGGGCTCCCTGCATCGCACACCTACACTCCCTCCCACCTCTATGTCTCATTCTGGCATTGTTAGTGGCACCTCCTAGTCCAAAAGTTACACATGAAGGAGTCTGATAGTGGAACCTTTAGTGAATCACCTTTGTCTTATACCCTCCCAGTAAATACCTGGAACAGTATCAGGAAGCTATCTCCTACATGTGCTTGGTCATTAGGAAAAACAAAGCTCTCTCTTCTAAAATTAGTTTTCCACTGGATATGAGCATGCCCCAAAAGCAGGTCCCAATCTACCCGTGTGGCCCCTCAGGAGAAGGCTACAGAAAAAGCCAAGTAAATTGCACAGATACCTGCACGCTGGTGGACCTCTTGAGATGAAGCTTGCAACTGAGGGGTTCCATCTCTGGTGGGCTGTGAGCTACTGCTCTGGCTTGAATTGCCTGCGGAATTGCTGCTGGACGAAGACCCCCCTCCACTATCCACCTCTTCAACGTTTCCCCTCTCATGGTGAGCTGCATGGCAGTCCTTCCGCATTCTGTTGGCAGGAACACACGCATGCTCAGCCATTTATTATGCACAAAAATTTGTGCCAGCCATGTTAGGTACACTCAGAAGTGTAATTGTACTCTCTCATGTCACTGCAGGTCTTTTGACATTTTGTGAGATGACAAAGATGATGGCGTGGTAAGCTTACTTGGGACAAAACTGTATATGACAAACCAAATCTTTCCTTGGCTGTGTTAAGTGGCTTTGGAGCCCTCCAAGACCTTAGGACTCTTTATCTGATGTTACATGGGTCTCTAAAGATCAACTTTTGCACGAGGTAACCAAGTAGCAAAGAAGAGGAATGGGCTGGAGGGAGCTCAGTATGAATAAGCTGCATGGTGGAAAACAATTGTATTAATCCACTAGATTTAACCTTGGCATTTTCCCATAGGTTTTAGCATGCAAGCTGGTTCCCATAGTCCCTCCATGGTCCCCTGCCTTTCCTAAGCCACAGCGGCAAAAGGATAGGCAGAGGGAAAGAGACAAGAGTGAGCTGCTGCTATATGAAAAGTAAATGTAGCAAGGAGAACTGGAATGTGTCAGATACTGATCACTCACACCTAAGAGAAGTCAGGCAGCTTTGGTGCATAGTGAATGCATTTTTATGTGCATTTTGGTCAAGAACGATGACTTGGGGATGATCATCTATACTGCCAAATCTTTGGAGCATAACCCAACACATTTAATCATGTTCTGACATATCATTCTATTATAGAAAATATTCCCTTATTTACAAGGCATAAACAGTAAAATTCTCTGGAATAATGGAAATGTCTGCAGTGCTTAAGTGATTTGATAATGCATCTTGTTGAACATGTAGAAAGCTTTTCTTAAAAGCCACGAATGAGTTAATGAGTTTGCTTTCTGTTATACCTATGGGGTTATTTTTTTATATATATACACTGAGTTATTTGCAATTAATTTTTTACTCATAACAATTCACAATTATTCTCTCAATAGAAAATACAGTGGAACTGAGACTACAGGGTTTCTATGTGTATAGCCAAAATTTAACACCTACCTTAACCATTTGGATCTGAACCACTTTTTAATGTTGTCCAAACTGACAGGTCCTCCCCAAATGTTCCTCAGTTGGCTGTGTGTCCCAAGGTATGAGGTGGTTAAAGGAGAAACATACATTGGATATCCCAGGGGCTGATCACATGAAGAATTAATTAAGTTCCGCAAGACCTGTTTATTGTTCTGGATGCTTCCTCTCTCCGGGTTACGATTGCGTAAGAAAATCAGCTCCTGCTGCTGCCCAGCCCAAAGCCCTCTGACACACTCCTTGTTGACCTACAGGTAGGTTAAAAACATGTGGATCATGTGAAAAGGTTTGCTTCTCCAGATGCAGAACAACAGGATTTAGGTAGAATGGCAGCAGCTGTGTGTGCAAACACTTCCTGCCTTTGCACCAACAGGTTTTACGAACTTTTGCAACTACTCCCTGGTAAAGCCTGGAATGTAATTTCAGCTACAAAAATAGATGGTTTAGCCTCCAATCTCTACTCTGATAACTATAATCCATTTCTCCTTTTGGCCAGATTACTCAGTAGTACCATTAGTTACCACAGCCCTAAATTACTGCAGTATTACAGAGATGACGTATGTACCTTGATAACCTTGAAGCTCAAGTAGCTTTTGTGGAGCATGATAACTTTATATTCATCTGCTCCTTCATCTACCACATGTCTCAGGGTGAGCAGCTCCTCTCTGTTGGAGAGCACAGCACTGCGCCAGGCTGGGTCCCCTTCATGACAAATCACCACCTTCTCTTCAAAAGACTGGATTGCTTCATACAAAACTGCTGGGTCCTCATACTCATCTGGGCAGGTGAACTGGTCCTGGTCATCCAGGAAAAAGTATTGAAAAGATCAAGTATATTTGTAAACACACAAAAATTATTAACAATAAACAAAATCCTGTTTTTCAAACAGTTGCCAGCTCACCTCCTAAGTGACTTGCCATTTGATACTGCATGTCTTTGGGGAGGTGGAACAATTAGTTTAACATGAATATAGAAAGATATGATTTTTGTTTTATTGTATCCTGTTCTGATCTCATGTCTCTGCTAGACAAAGACAATTAGAGAATGCCAGCTTATCCACTTCATAAAAAGAAAGTGGGAAACCCCGTGAAACAGAGCTTTTGGGTAAGCTGGAGAGAGATCAGAATCACCTGAGACATTCCACAGTTCTTGCGGAAATACCTATTTTTATTCACAAAAATCTCCCAATAAAAGCACAGACTGGGAATGCATCAGCAGGTATCACAATATTGTGTTACTGCTTTAGCTGTTAAGAGGCAACACAGCCAGAGATAACATTCATAAAATGACTGTCAAATTCTCAGATATTAATTCACAGCAGTTCCACTTGAGTTACATTCAGAGCAATTATAAATATAATGCATGATAAAAACATATGATACTAAATCATAACGTGGCGGAGCAAGAACATAATCAACTCCAAGCTGCACAGGGGGTTGACCTGAAGAAATTGGAGTGACTCCAGAGGAGGCATGCCAGATTTTCACAACTGGAAACAGAATAGGGTTAGAAACAGCCTGACATAATCAAACAGCCATAATATCCTTCAAACCACTCTCCTCTCAGCCGAGTCTTTTAACATATGGAAGTGGTACATGTGTACTGCCATTCCTGAAAGGACTGATAAATTAGCAATGAAATTAGTCTAATCAATGTATTTCTTTTCAATCTAGAAACCATCTTTTTAGTATTCATGCAAGTAAAATTTGACATGACTGGCAGTTTTGAAATGAAAAACGCAGGGTCAAGCTCTGCAATACAACTGGTTTCAAATGGGCAATGAGGGGCTAAAGAAAAAAACATCAGTGAATGCAAAACAAATAAATGCTAAACTTTTCTGTTTTGGTTAATGAAGCTTCTCAAAAGAAGGCAAGAAGTTGTTGGGTTGTTTTTTTTTGACAGTTTCTGAGGTTTCCTGTGGTTCCTTAAGAAAACAGATACAATAGTAAAAGATAAAAATAAAAATGTAAAAAAGGCCCTACCTGGTGTAGCTTCAGAGACATTCGGATGGCTGGGGCAACAACCTTATGCAGTAGGTCCATGTCTGCAAAGACCCACTCATCTTTTGCTGCTATCCGAAAGTCTCCTTTGAACAGAGCGTGGAGCCCATAAAGAAAAGAGTCCAAGCTGTAAAAGAAAGGCAGCAATTATTCCCAGGAGTCATTCACATCTATCCAAGCTAGGCTCCTGCCAGCTCCTGGCCAGGTGCTGAGCTGTGGTGGTGCTCGAATGCAGGGCAAGCTCCTACAGTGGGTATAATGTAAGAGTCACATTCTGTATTTCTAAGCAGAAACCGTTCCTTGGGGTACGTGGTTTTCCTTCTGCTCGCACTGTAAATGACTGGCCATGAAGCAAGTGTGGCACCAGAATGAAGGACATCCTAGGTGCCTGGGTCATGGGGTGCCTCAGGGCCCTGATTCTCTGCAGCTGTTCCACAGAGACCAGGACAAAGAGTGCCAGCTGCCCTGCAGAAGCTGCCTCCCCATTTGAAAGTTTATTAATAGACCTTGTTACTCTTAGCAGTTCCTCTTGAAAGGTAAAACGTAAAAAAAAATACAACCAAACATAAAACCAGCTGTAAAAAATATTTTCAGCAAATCGGAGACTTTTGTCACAACACTCAAACCCAGACGCGAACATTAAACCAGATGTACCAAGAAGACTTCCAAGTTTCAGGAACTGTTCAGGAAATGGGGTGAGAGCATGAATCAAACAACAGGCATCTCAAACTGAAACAATGAGCCCCAAAGCAAATACGCTCTGGGTGTCTTTTTTCTAATATAAGAAGCGAGATGTAACCAGTTCTGCCTGACCTTGGATGATGGTGTGCCTGGAGCTGAGATTTAAGCAAGAGGCAAAAGGTGCAAAATGAAGCTGTTGTTAGAAAATGGTTGCACGAGGGCTTTGCGAAGGGAAACAGCCTTTAGCTCCAAACTGCACCCCAAACCATGAGCTTCCCACGACACCACAGCCACTGGTAAAATGCTTATATAGCAGGACTGCTATCCTGACGGTGCTCTGAAGAAGTGATCTTGAAATTGAGGAAAACAGAACCATCTGTTAAGAGCAAGCATCTCTTGCAAACCCACAGGACATGGTTTCTTCTACCTGCCAAGATTTAACAGCTGAATTTTTTTTTAGACTGTAAAGGCTCTGAGGAGCATCTGTATTAAGATGTTAACGGCCTTCATTACCGACCAGGCTTCCTCCAGAGAACACATCATCTTTCCACATAATTGAGATTTCTTAATTATTTTAGGAAAAGAAAAAACTGTATATTTTTTTCTATTCTCTGAGACCAAGAGAAGACAGACTGGGAGACTGCTTGGCCTATCTTCAGCTCAGACACATTCTAATTTTACCCTTGGTGGGTAGCAAGTTTTAGAAATTAAAATGGAAAGATATATATGTTGTTACCAGAAAAACAGCTGGATAGTGGTTTTCTCCACAAAAGCACCATGTAATACAAATCAAATATTCATCGGGACCAAGTCAGGAAGGCAGGGCTGCTGTCACTGCTGGGCAAATGAAGAGCATGGGGAAGCTCTTGTGAATTCTTAACAGATTGGCATTTATTAGTACTAAGTTACGTATTAAAACACACCCATGTGAGACAGGCACGTACGCTCAGATCTTCAAAACATTCAAGTACTGATTTCAACAGGAGCTGTTCTGTGCTTACAAGGAGTAGCTCATGATCCCCACTGACTTTCAAACAATCATCTTCACAGTTTACAAAATGATTATATACCCAAATCTTGCTTAATAGCCAGGAAAGCCCCAGAATAAAGCAGCTGGGTGGGGGAGAATGGTGAGTGCAGCCAGTGTGATTAAATACCTAACCTCCTTTGAACAGGTTAGGAATCAGGAAGGGTCCTTTTCACTCACCCACTAGATCAAACAAAGCTGAACACAGCTGAATCCTTGCTGGAAAAAAAACAGTTCTGTATCTAAATATTCTTCCAAGGATGAAGCTGAAAAAACCTGCCCCAAACCCTGCAACTAACACCTTTTATTCTGAAGTAACACCCTCTGTATTTGCTCTGAAAATTTGGCGGGGATGAAGGGAGGAGCAGGTAGGGAAGAGAACTGTTTTTTACATCATCAGAGGCTTCCAGAGCCAAATCTGAACACCAGAGCAGACAAAGAGATTGCATTCACATCAAAGTGTCTTATAGGTATCAGCACATGCTAAATAGGCTGCTGTGAACAGCAGTATCTCCTTAAAGAAAGGCCAGGAGTAGGACAGCTGAGCATCAGCAGAGGGAGCAGAGGGAAGCACATATTGCTCTCACTGTGCTTAGTTAGGGAAGACTCATCCATTTCTCATCCTTCTACATAATAAGTTCTTAACCAGCATTTTTAAGAACACCTAGGACTGCTACAGGGAGCAAAGCAGCAGAGGCACTAGTTGTGAGAGGCTGAAAGTAAATTATTTGATATATTGTATTTTCCACCAGGGAGGTCTGGAGGAGATTACTGCATTCACACAACAATGGATATATTTTATTCTCCTGTCAATTGTAATGAGGCTTTTGGGTACATTCTGCCCATAATGTGAGTGTCTGAAGCCATTATTTCTGTAGCACACAGCTCTTAATCCACGTAAGATACAGCTGTTGTTATTCTTAGCATTGTTGTGCTCTCTCCTGAATCTCTAATGAAATGATAAGGAAGCTGTAAAGCCAACAGCTTTGATCTCAGGCCTGACTCAAGGTTGTTGCTGCTTTCCTCATCCAGTTTTAACATACCTCAATTAGCAATCTGCTGTAGTTACAGGCTCATTCAAAATATTTAAAAAACCAGTTAAAGTAAATTCACATGCAGAAGAAATTACATTCATCAGGAAGATGAATCTCTGGCAACACATCTAAACCCCTGAGCCAAGCAGGAGCCCAAAAAGTTGCTGTCACAACTGCAAGCTATTTTAGAACAAGACTAGTAGGTGTGTGGGAACCATCAGCCCCTTGAATGTGCAGAAAGGAGGGGATTAAGTAGCACCACAAATACCAGAGGGAAGGCAAAAGAGCCAAGACAAATACTCCCTCCTACTGCATTTCCTACATTGCCCCAACAGCTGAAACTAAAAACATTTGATGCAAGCCTGAAAACAGCATGGATGAAGGCTAACGAGATGGTGAATAAATCTGTCTGTATTTTGCAAACCAGAACCCATCCTCTGTCTGAGGTTTATAGTCCTTTCCCAATAATAACTAGATTTATTTAAGGAATAAAGAAACATGCATGCCTATGAGCATGACTTGACTGTCACAGCTCACCTGAATGAAGTATTTTCAATGGTAGTCCCTCTAAATGTGCATTTTAAGTGACTGTGGTTGTGAGCTAAGAGTCAAACTTTTCTCCACTGCTTCCGCTCTACTCAGCTCTGGCAGACATAGAGCTGCACCCTCTGCTGCAGCTCCCACTAGCATCGCAGCATCACTGGCAGTATTGTGGCATTGTGTCCTGCCCCCTCAGATGCTTGGCAGTGCAATGTGGTGCTTGCAGGCAAGGGGCAAGTGAAGCCAGCTGCTTCCCTGGGTGTCAGCATGAGCTGTGGTTCCTCCAGGCAGAGGCTTTCCTTGGAGTGACCCTCTGTCCACACTGAGCGGTAAATGCCCAGAAGACACTCTGGTGGAGGTTTCATCATGTTGGAAGTATCTGATGAGAGATGCTTTATTAAGATAATTTTATATTTTTCCAAATTTGAAATGTGTACTAAACATTTATTTACTAGTAGGTCTAGTGGCCGAATAGAATTATTAACTAATTTTTTACAAATACACACTTAAACATATCCCTCATATGTGAATAAATGAATGGTAATGTCACGCCATTCTTCAAATTGCTTTTTGTGCAGGATGCTTCCTAATGACAGTTTAAAAGAGCAAGTGATTTGCACAGCAATGATCTGCCTTCTTAATGAATGCATTTATTGTGTAATCTAGTGTTAATGTTGGGTTTCTACTACATTTACATGAACAGGTACACTGAATAATTATTTACATATAGTATATAAGAGCATTTAAAATCTTGGTTTACATAGTGACATTTACTGATTAATAGATTAGACAAAATCATGTGTAAATGAGTGCAAATTGGTAGTTTACATACACGGTGTAAACTTGAATCTCAATTCTATAGTGCACAGCTCAGTGTAACATTACCTTTGCATTACTGTTCCTGCGCAGCAGTTGGATGAGCGTCACTCCTCAAGACACAGTAAAGAATAAACTTAGTCCAGCAGAAGTTTCCTACTACCTGCACAATTACCCCTGAGGATAAAACATGGATCACAGAGCACAGATTCTGGGCTAGTTTGTTCATGTTGGACATATCTGGAACATTTCATAGCAATAAGTGTGAGGAGGAGAAGACTACAATGCCTATCTGGCCATTGCATCTCAAACTCACTGTGAAACCTCTAGCGATGTTGAACACAAAATGCTTCACAGGCAGAATTAATAGAAAGTCCCAAGATAAAGTTCAAAGTAATTTCTCAGTGCCTACCAGAGTAATCTAAATAATGTGTGACAAAGCATGTGTTAGGAGCCCTGATCTCTTGCACAGTGAGCCAGCTCCCACCAGCTGTACATGCAGTACATCCCCCTCATGCACACAGGTTCTGACACTATCTCTGCAGAAAACTAAAACCCTCTTCAGAACCAGTAGGCTACAAAAGGTCCCCAAAATAGCATGATATCTCTTCAAGGAAAAAGACTTTAAGCATCACCTTGACTCCTTCAGCTACTGAAGACCTTAAGTACTTCTCCCCCATCTAACTGAACCTGCAACAGCCTCATAGCAAGGACAAGCAATAATCATAGAATCGGCATAGAATGGTTTGGGTTGGAAGGGACCTAAAAGACCATCTAGTTCCAACTCCCCTGCATGGGCAGGGACACCTCCCACTAGGTCAGATTGCTCAGAGCCCCATCCAACCTGGCCTGAAACACTTCTACAGAAGAGGCATCCACAACTTCCCTGGCCAGCCTGTTCCAGTGTCTCATGACCTTCACACTAAAAGAACTTCTTCCTAATGTCTAATCTACATCTCCCCTCTTCCAGTTTAAAACCATAATGCTTTAAATCACCCTCCCTAAGAGTTGTATCTCCATCAAACACAGAGAGAAGGGAGGGAAACCTGCCTTAGTGCCTGAAGTTAATCTTGGGAAACATCTCCTGGCTGCAGCAGCATTGCATGTGTTGGATGAAGTCTCCTTCCCCCTGGCATGCCATATAATTGTATTCCTATCAGAGTCCTGCTGACTTACTGTTTCTTTATGTCTAAATAAGTCAAGAAGATCTGTGTGAGGCAGTAAACACAGTAAGTATAGTAAGTGCTGCCCTCTGTGCTGAAGTGAATGTATTTGGGGAATTTTTGTTTACAAAGGCCTTGATGTCAAAGGTTTGCATAACCATCTTGCTCCTTAGTTAATGATTTCTTCTACTTTATTTTTGTCAATTAAAATAAATATAATTTTTTAAAGACATGAATAAATATATTTCACCAAACTAAGTTCATGTTTTGTAGCTGTAGCAATTTATAACTTGAACTGTGCTCCTCAGGTTACTTTTCTTTTTCCCCCCAAAAAACATCTTTCTAACAGTTGAAATGTGTTAAAGGTAATTTAACAAGGTGGGTAAGTGACACAGTTTTTCACAGTGAAACTTTTCTAGGGAAAGTTTTTGTCAAGTAGCACTGAAAAAGAAAAGATACTGTCAAAAGCTTCCACTTAATCCTTTTTATGTAAAAAAATAAATTTAAAAATACAATTATTCAATACTTCCCTGGAGCACTTTCTTAATAAAAAGAAAATCAGGAATTAAAGATACAGGATTATACAGAACAGATTTAGAAAAACAGGGAGAGAGCTGTGCAGTGCTTATGAGAACCACATTTTGTCCTCTTCTACAGTCCTTTTCTCCCCAAGAAAATTATTTTTGAGTAGGGAGCATCCACTCACCAAAATAACCTAATTTGGTTCACTGGCAACTTTCCAACTTCTGAAAAGATATGGCATAGCTGACTCCTGCAATTATTATTGAAATCTTCACAGAAGACTTTGCAAATAATTATTCTCAACATTCATACTCTCCAATTTAAGCTTTGGAAAGTCTCTGATAATATTATCTCTTTCCATTAACTACTGACCACACAAGCCAATAAAAATAGGTGACATTGTTATTGTATCTGTGCTAGTGCTAAAAAACTGTAATGAAGATTTTAAGATCCTGTGGAAAGTACATGCAATGTGATGACAGTTTTAGGAAGCTTTTGTGATATTTTTAGATGCATTTCTGATATCACTGTGCTGTATCTCTTGCAGCCCCTGATCAAATTCATTTTAATCTTGCCTCAAAAAACCCCCAATACAAATAAATAAATAAATAAAGCACAAATGCACATTAACTTTTCTGTTTTGTCCCCAAAAGCTAACATTTAGGTCATCAAAAATATAGGGCAATTTTAGAAATACTTATGTCTCACTAATTTGAGTGCCTAGAAATGAAGGGAGAGGAAACTCAACCCAGAAGAAAACAGGAAGGGAATGTGCAAAGTGTAGTAGAAAAGAGGTGATGAAGAAAGGCCACTTTAAAAAGCAGAAAGAAGCATCCCTGAACATTTTGTGTGACTGACTGAAGGAGGAAGACATAAAAACAGATGTTTCAAATGACTTAAGAGATAACAAAGCTAGAATGAATGTTTAAAGGACTGTTTAATCTTACAACACAAAACGTGTTCAATATAGCACAGATTGTCTTTGTTTGCTTGTTAGCAAGACAAATCCTCTCTAAGGAGCATGCTGGGATAGGGCTGGCTAGCTTTATTCACTGTTTTGTGCCAATACAGCAAGGTCACTTAAGAGACTGTATTTACTTATCTTCTGTACTGCTGCTAAACTCTTGTGAACACAGAGAGTTCTGATACATCTAATAAAAACCTAAAAGTAGGAGAGTAGTTAAGACTTTTTTATGGTAAAGATTATTTCATTAATAAAATGCCTTACTTATAAAATTAATTACTCAGGCTGAACACGTAGAACAGCATAAATGGGACTTTATAAAACCCAAACAACTCAAAACTCCTAAGAAACTCTAAGAAAAATGCAAGGTGAAGAGCATATCCAGGAAAAAACTTCACCAACCATATTTTAATTAGCCAGACTTTCTAGGAAGAAGTGTTTTGAATTAATTAATTAATTATTTAATAAGGTAGACTAAGAACAGATTAAGCTGCTATCTCAAGAGATTAAAGGTTCTCCCTTCCTTGGTAACCAGAATGAAGTGGCACAAGGAACAGGGGATACAGCCCTAAAGCAGCAGAGGACTTTCATGGATTTATTATTATTTAGCTAACTATCTGTCAGATGGCTTAGCAGTTTCTTCCCCTTCTGGAAGAAGCCAGCATTCCAGCAGCCAGACCAGGTGTGAGTGAACAAAAGCAATAACCATCAGTATCTATTTTTCAATGCAAAATTCTGTTTTACCATATGAAATCAAGACTGATATTAGTTATTAAGTGAACTAACAAAGTAAAAGATGTTCAGGGAATGGCAGAAAACTGATTAATTTTAGGGAGGAAAGAGATTTTGCTTTGATCTAATTTGCTGAGATTCCACATTAAGTGAAAAAAGACAAACAGGTCTTTGCTTTAAAAATGAGGGAAAAGGGTTCCTTAAAATTACCTGATGGCCATATTGTGAGCTGCAGTTCCCAAAGCTCTTCGACCCAGTATGCACAAGGCAAAGGAAAGTGTCACTAAAGGAGAATCTTCATCGCTGTCCAGGTGCTACAAGGTTTTAAGAATAGCATGTTATTCCAAATGCAAATCCCATCTTTAATAGCACTACAACACTATAAATTGTAACACTTGTAACATTTGCTTGTAGCTGGACCTGCACACAAAAGCGTTCTTTGCAATTAAACAGAACAAGAATCATTGCCATCAGAGGCTTTCTGCAAAGCACAAGCTTATTTTGCCCACTGGCTAGAAATGGAACATTGCAATCTCAGGTGGTGAGATCCCAAGGGGGGCTGTGGCAGTGGTGGTGATTTTCATGGGATTATGTTTGTTTGTTTGTTTTCCAGACCTGACATTCTAAACTACAGCAGATTCCTTATTGCTGAGAGATACTGCAATAGAGGCAGCCAAACCTCTTTCCATGGGACACAGTGCATATGAAATCTCTCACATATTCCAGAACAATAATCTATTTGGAAAAGTTTGGGGGAACGCACTTTTAGTGAATAACAAGATACATTTAAATTGTATACCATGGATGACATCAACCTCACATTTTAGCAAGCAGTCAAAACATTTCATTGACATTTATTAGCTCAGGAGAGTTTCTTTACTGATGTTTTTCAAAAATAAAACCTTGCTACTGAAACAAAAAACTGAAACAACCACATGAATGTAAAGTTTTAGGAAGGTACAGACTATTATGTCTGCCTATGCAACATGTGATTTCTTACAGCTTGCTTTGACTCTAAAATTGAAGCCAGTTATAACGGAGAAGGTAGCTCCTCCTATAAAATACACTGATTTTCAGGGCTATGTGTCCAGTGAAGCTTTTTTACATCTCACCTCCTACATGAATTTTAATATAGTTAGTCAATTGCAAAAACTGAGGTAAAATAAAACAATGTAAAACCATATATATGTGTGTGCCACTTGTTTGACCTTTTAAGTCTAACTCTGAGAAGTTTCAAGTCTATTGGGCATCTCTAAATCTATTATTCTATTTGAAAGTTTCAGCCACATAACAAGTGAAAAAGCATCACTCAACAGTGGCTTTCCCACCACCATTGCAATTCTTTGTGTGTCAGAACCTGGGAGCTGAGACACAGAGGTGGGAAACAAAAGAGATTAAATATTCCCAGTAGGAGAACATGGTGGGGAAGGCTCAGAGGACAATCCAATGAAAACAGAACTGGTGCAATTGTATTTAGGTAAGAGACATGAGAAGGAACTGAGGCGGAGAAGAAACATTAAGATTCAGCAAAATTACACCAGCTAAGGTCAGTGGCAGCAAATGGGATGTGCACTCAGTGGTTCTGAATGAAAAATGCACAAATAGGAGCATGTGTTGGCCAGGAAAGATACACTTCTCATATTTTTGCTATTATCAGCAATAATCAGGCTATTAAATCAAGGGAATATGCTTGTTTGAAACTGTATTCTCCCTCTGGGCTATTTTGAGTACTCCAAGGAAATATAGTAGTGCATTTCTGACAAATGATTGCTGACCATCAGCAATCTGAGTGGCTCAAAGCATGTGAATGTGTAGCTGTAAACCTGCCCTTGACCTTCTAGAGCTGCGAGGTAATTTCACATGTTTTTTTGTCATGTTTCACATTTGAATTATGAGCTCTCAGAGGTGACCTATATTACCAGAGAGTTAGTTATGCACTTCCCTACCATTTCAAGACCATAACCAAACACAGGCAAATGTTTGGAAAGAGTACACAAACATCACCAGTGTTTGACAAATGTATGCAAACACTGGCAACACTGAGGGAATGATCACATTCCCTGAACAGAGCTCACTCCAGTATTACTTCTGTGAACACTTATTATTTCCATGCTTTCTAGGGATGACGAAATTAATAGTGTTGGAAGTGTGCACAACAAGGAATTGATTCTGTATTCAAAGACTAACCCCTGCAATTTGTTCTAGTTAGAGATGTCCCTGCGTATTGCAGGGGGGTTGGACTAGATCATAGAATCATAGAATCTTAGGGGCTGGAAGGGACCTCGAGAGATCATCTAGTCCAACCCCCCTGCCAGAGCAGGGTCACCTAGAGTAGGTCACACAGGAACTCATCCAGGTGTGTTTTGAATGTCTCCAGTGAAGGAGACTCCACAACCTCCCTGGGCAGTCTGTTCCAGTGCTCTGTCACTCTTACAGTAAAAAATTTTTTTCGGATATTCACCTTGAACCTCCTATGCTCCAATTTACACCCATTACCCCTTGTCCTATCACTGGTCATCACTGAGAAAAGCCTAACTCCGTCCCCCTGACACTCACCCCTTACATATTTGTAAACATTGATGAGGTCACCCCTCAGTCTCCTTTTCTCCAAGCTAAAGAGACCCAGCTCCCTCAGCCTTTCCTCATAAGGGAGATGTTCCACTCCCCTAATCATCTTCGTAGCTCTGCGCTGGACTCTCTCGAGCAGTTCCCTGTCCTTTTTGAACTGAGGGGCCCAGAACTGGACACAATACTCCAGATGTGGCCTCACCAATGCAGAATAGAGGGGGAGGAGAACCTCTCTTGACCTACTAACCACACCCTTTCTAATGCACCCCAGGATGCCATTGGCCTTCTTGGCCACAAGGGCACATTGCTGGCTCATGGTCATCCTCCTGTCTACCAGGACCCCCAGGTCTCTTTCACCTACACTACTCTCCAGCAGGTCAGCCCCCAACCTGTACTGGGACATGGTGTTGTTCTTCCCCAAATGTAAAACTCTGCACTTCCCCTTGTTGAATTTCATCATGTTTCTCCCCGCCCAACTCACCAACCTATCTAAGTCTCTCTGAATGGCAGCACAGCCTTCTGGTGTGTCAGCCACTCCTCCCAGCTTAGTGTCATCAGCAAACTTGCTGAGGGTACATTCTATACCCTCATCCAGGTCGTTGATGAAGATGTTGAACAACACCGGTCCCAGTACCGACCCCTGTGGGACTCCACTAGTCACACACCTCCAACCAGATTCTGCCCCATTGACTACAACTCTCTGGCTCCTTCCTTTCAACCAGTTCCTAATCCACCTCACTTCCTGATCACCAAACCCATACCTGATCAACTTATCTACAAGGATGCTGTGGGAGACGGTGTCAAATGCTTTACTGAAATCAAGATAAACCACATCTACTGCTCTACCATCATCTATCCACCTAGTAATTTCCTCATAGAAGGCTGGATGACCTTTATAGGTCCCTTCCAACCCAAGACATTCTGTGATTCTATGATAAAAGAGTGACGATGCATCATTTAACTCCTATCCCAGGAATCACAACTACTACTACTACTACTAGTACTACTACACCCCCACAAGCTTACCTCTACCCTTTTTCTAGCACAGAACTGAATCCAGTCCAGATAAACACTGCAGAAACTAGCTCTTGTTATTCCTTGGAGGCATGGAACATAATCTTCATCTATGTTAATGTTAAACATTGCAAGGTCCCGTTCAATATAGTGCCACTTTGCGTAAGGCTGCAGTATCTTTTGGATGGATTCATCTTTTATCCAGTCAAGGATTTTGGGAGAAGTTGCTGTGAAGTAAATTATACTCTGTTGAGAAAAGGAGAAAAGGTTAGTCACTCTCTCTCTGGTTAAAGCAGATATATTTAAACAGAACAAAATAAATAGTACCACATTAACTACCCATAATGGTACATATTTCTCCTGTTCTTTACTGCTTGACATCATTGCCTCACAAAACTGTTCAAGTTAGAAATACAATAATAATTGATACCTAAATAGCAGACAACAGAAACAGACATAATATTTTTCATACCCTTCTGCCTTACAGGAAAATGAATACAAACAATAGACTGTTCTAAGAATACAGAGTTCCAGCATTCAAGCACGTTGATTACTGCACATTAGTGGGGTTCTAGAATCCGCCAACAATACCACCACTAAGGTGGTATTGCTAAGAGGTCATGCATGTTTTGAAAAATTAGTAGTAGGTGGTCACATGCTTAAAACAGGACTCTAATTCCTCCATGGACTTCCTGTTTTCTGGGAGACAAAGCTTTCCTAATTCTTTAATAAACAGTTCCACCATGATTCAACCACAAAGCTGAGATCTGACAGGTGTGTACAAGACAAGCCTTAAAACCCATTTCAACTGCAGTTTTCTTCCTGCATTTAGTAGCATTACTATCATTTGTTGATGAAGCCAGTAAAGAAAAATGGATTTTTTTCTTATATGTTGGGGTTAAGAAGCTAAAAAAGGATGTAACTGCGTTTGCTTTTAAAAGGCTGAAGGAGAAACAGAATTCAGCAGGAGCTCTTTTACCAAATGCAGAAATATCAGAAAGCATTAAGACTCATGTCTCTTATCTGTGCATGATTTTCTAAGTTTAAGTTCTTCTAACCACTGTGACTGGAGCCATTAAAATAATATATAAAATAAAACAATACTTAACAAATAATCAGTCTGAATTAAATTTAAAACATATTTTCAAAAGTATATGTAACTTCAGGAGATGTTCTGGTGCTGCAAAGGAAAGTGGCATCAGCTAGAAAGTTCCATTATAATTTTTTAATTATTACAATTTGTATTTTAATAGAAGATATTAATTTAAAATTGGATTCCAAAGCAAATGAGGGGCAAGTGAACATGACTGAACATTATGTAGTTCTACTTTACCCATGCAATGGAAATATTATTAAGTAAATAAAGGTATACAATGAAAATATGATGGATTAAAAAGGGAAGAGCACTACCAGCCCTTTTAAAAATCTGAGATGCCCTCCACTGTTTATCTTCCAAATTGTACAAAAATACACAAGCAAGAGGAAAATTAAGCTCCAGAGGAAAAACATAAGTGAGACAGATACAGACTGAGGATGGACCCTTAATTTCTTGACGTGGAGAACAATAAACTCTCTAAAAAAGATGCATGCAGAAACAATGGGAGGTGAAAACACAGTACTGAGCAAATGAGACTTCTTGAATACTAAAAGACATTTAAGGAACAATTTATTGAGAAGAGACAGAGGAGGCACAAGGCAAAAATATCACAGTAGCTGGGCAGGAAATTATTTCAAAATAGATGCATAAGGGCCACAAGAGGTGACCCAGTGTATTTGTGGAGAATAAAAACCCTTTTATAAGAAGAAATACAGGCCTTTCTAGGCGGTTAATGAAACTGCAAATGAAATAAATACATTAGGAATACGATGCTCAGTGCAACTCATTGTTTAAAAGACCAACACAGTAATTATTCTTGAAGGACAGGAGAACTGCAAGAAAGCATACATTGTCTTTGTTGATCTTCAAAATGGAGTTTGCTTCTTTATTATTCTCACCTATGTTTACAAAGAAGCAAATTCAGCTGGGGAAAAAAAAAAAATCAGACTCTCAATCAGATACAGAAATAGGAAAAACTTCTTCCACCTGATTAAATTCTGTTCGTAGTAGCTCTTCCTAGGTATGTGCACAAGTAGATCCTCAGCTATATGGCAATTAAAAAATAATATGGTAAATGTTTACAACATTGCAAGCTATAAACTAGCAGCACTCCAAATGCTCAGTGCAATGGAAGTGAAGCTGCTGCTAGAGTTCCAGCCTAAGTGTTTTCTGAATTTGTGATTTGTGTGACCTGAATACTGCATTAACAGTTCTTCTTACAACTACTTTCCTATGCTGCTAGAATAAACTGTCAGGGCTTTAAAATGTTACCAGTGAAATTGTGCAGGGTCTTTACAGTTAAAGATTCCTCCATAAGAAACAGCTGGGGAAGGAATGAATTCTCATCTCTGTTTCTGACACTGTGTATCTGGAGGTTAAGTACTAAATAAACAGGGCAATAGATGACATCACACACAATACGATCTTATCACCCTCTGAGACTGCAGTAAGGATTTTACCAAATCTTATCAAAGCTCCTGTTTGTGGAAGAAACTAGTAACTTGAGAAATAGAAGAAAAATCTTCATATAGCTTTCTTTTGGGAAATGTCATTCTAAAGGGATCTCCTGAGGGGAGAAGCCCAGCCCAGGCTAATATCAAAGCTGCCAGCAGGTTGTTATTTTCTGTTCGTCCTTCCCTAAGAAGGGAAGTAGATTAAGGGACTGACACCTTTCTAAGACTGAAGGACTGTAAATGCAGTATTATAGTACTAGCTCAACTAAATCCAACCTAGAGAGATTCAGTTTACACCTTCAAAGCAACAGGTGATGAACATACCAAAAGCTTCATACAGTAGAGTTAGAGCCACAGCTTACCTCAGCTGTGTAACCAACCTCCCTTTTACTCAAACCAGGACCAATTAACCTTATCTGTCCCATGATATGGGACAAAAGTTTGTCTAAGCAATCTTACCTCAGGTATGTCCAGAACCAGAAACCCTAAAGTAACTTCAGTTTTACTTCCCATGTTATGTACCTCACATTTTCCACAAGTCCTCTACACATTAGTTGACCTGATGGAACTGAAAAAGTTCCAGTTTATTAAGCTCAATTCTTTGCTGCTTTAAACTAATGAGCTACTGATTTGATTGCAGCTCAGACTGGGATTTTTTTCAGGCTCATTTGCTATCAAGCTGAATCACAAATCAGCTTGCATCACTTCACATTCAGATTTATTCAGGCTACCTTTTAAAGTAAAGCAAAGTAATAGTAGCAACATATTCATTTCAGTTTAAGAAAGGGTTTGAGAGAGTAAGATGTTGTCTTGCTGGATTATAAGGTTCAATTATTTTGACAAATTAGTATCTGTGATCATTGTGATCTTAATAACACTGCAAATATGGAACTGATGTAAATGAATTGCCATTTAACCAATGGAATAAACCAACTTCAAATGTGTTGTGGTATATATGTAAACACAAAACAGCAGGTAAGAAGGAGGTTTGCACTACTAAAAAAAGTACATTTGAGAAACTGCTCTTCAGATTTTTCCCAATAACTTTATGCTTGGTTGGTTTTTTTTGGTTCCCCCACATCCAGAAAAACCAGTGGAAAGGCCAAGTCAAGAAGAAATATCAAACTGTTCATGAAGTTTTGCTTTGTAAGAATGCTTCTTCTGACTTTATCACTAGAGGATATTAACTCACCTTCTTGGTTTCTGCTGAAGCATGCCTGCAGTTTTCTGTACTAACTTGAACTTACTAAGTATAAGTGGTCAAAATTAAATGTAGCAAAAGGAGACACTAGTTAGTTACCCCTATCTAATACCAAGTCAGTCTGGCTGACAGTAGTGCAAATGTATGAATATAAAGCAAAAAAAATTTCTAATAGGCAGCCCGCATTCATTCTTTTTGACAAACCTGTCTGTGAGTGCAGTCCATTTTACCAAAGAGTTTACCTTTATATAGTATCTGATAAGTATTCTCCTCAGATCGAACACCTGCAGCATCGTTGCAGCATTGTTATCAATGATGCTGTATCCTTCCAGGATGTACTGGCTTCGCGTTATTTCCCACGTCAGCCATCGGAGGTTAAAGGCTGCATTACATGATAACAAGTGAGGCAAGTGCCCAGGTTTACAACAGCAGCAGCCTTCATTGTCTTCATCTCCTTCTGTTATAGCTTCCACTTCTCTCTGCTGGCAGTATGTCCCTTGGCAGTGAGAAAAAGAGAGTATGCTGCCAGTTATTTGGGGAGGAGGAAACAAAGGACTTTTTCCAAGCTGAAAAATTATGACTGAAGGCTCTATATGCTTCTGATCTAACAGAAAGAGCTACAACAACAAATTAGATGTGCCAATTGATCCAAGTGCAGTAGCAAATAAAGAGCTGTACATTATTTATTTACTATCACCTATAAAACCCAAAGGAGACCCGTTCTAGACATTCAGTTCTGAGCTGAGCTAAACTACAGGCCACAGCTTCTGCCCTAATAAAAAATCACCAGGAAGCAACACTAGAAAGTTTCACTCCATCAAGCACATGAAGCAAATTGATCCAAATCTCACTCTGCTTCTTCAAATAACATACAGGATGCAAAGAAAGATTTTACAGTGTGTCAGAGCACTCATAAAATCTGAGTTATAGCAAACTATCTTGGAAAGTAGGTTTCGAAAACAATATCCAATGGGTTGTTATCTCTCCGGTTGTCCTCTAGTACTTCAGATCAAGCATCTCTAATGAATAGCACTTGTGGCAGTGTATCGTGAGGACAGAACAGCTTTCTAATTAGCCGATTACACAGGCTTTAGAACAAAATAGAGTAAATATTTCTGAAAAAAAAAAGATGTTAATTCAAAAAGAAGTCATGAGGCAGATGCAGAAACAAGAATACATCTGCTGTGCAGACTAGATGGTCAATATGAGCCCTTTGGGATCTGAAATCTCTGAAAATATGGGGTTTATACCATGTAGGGCACTACAAATCAAAACTGAGGTGGGCACTCCTGTGCTCTCTCCACTGTTCCCAAAATATATATGTCCTTGATTTTTAAAAAATCTATCCTCTGTGGGCTGTTGCTGAACTTACTCTCCACTAAATTTGTACATAAATCACCTTTCAAGGCCATCTGCTATGGTGCAAGTTACACATGTCTTGCATGGGCCTTCTGCCACTGGTTGGGTACCACTCCATGATGGAGCTGGCTCCATCAGCCTCCAGATAGTCTCAACAGGAGAGGAAGGTGTGAGACACTGTACTGCAGTTCAACAGCTATGGACTCCCCTCACCAAGACCCAGTCCTTTGTGTCACTGTAAATGGGAGGAGAATTTGACTATGTTCATCATCTGCATGTTGGATGGGGAAAGAAGACAGTGTCAGTTCCAATCCCCTGCAGTTTGCCAACACACCAAAAAAGAGCCTGGAGCAAGGTAGCATCTCAAAAGCCTTTCAGTGAAGTGTCACAACCTTCGGTTTGTATCAACCCAAGTAGTACCCAGAATATTCCTCTCTCCTCAATATGAAAAGACTGTCAAATATAACAAAATATGTTAATGTATTGGTTATCACCTTCTCTTTTTGACTGCACACCTTCTAAGATGTATCCAGCAGGCAAAAACACAAGAAAAAAGAACAGAAAGTTCTGAAGGAAATGTGTGAGAAAAAACAGGATTGTACCCCTAAGAGATGGGGTGGAGGAGAAAGATCCAGGATATTTCAGTGCTCTCCATTACTTTTCTATACATGAAAAACTTGCACTGGGTAACCCACGTTGTTCACACACTGATATGTATTCCTCCTTGGAATTCAGGGATATACAATATGACCAGTTACTGTCTTCAAACAATTCAAATATGAACAACTTTCCTTTCAAGACTGCCACAAAGTACAAAACATGACTTATCAAGCTGACATTTCCAGTTGGACTGGACATGAACTGGACTGCTTCTGCTTCATATTTCACAGATTTCTAGATGAATTAACACTCACTGCTCAGCGGCAAAAAAGCAGCAACTGCTCTGGGTCAGTCTATGCTTGTGTGAAATCAAGTCGAAAGACATTGTACTCAAAGTGAAGTAGGGGGAGGCATATTCCTTTATACCTAGCTCAGAAAGAGTAAAATAACTACTCCTCACTGGTTCTGTTACTATTGCTAGTGTGTTTATTTTTGAAAGTTAAGAGGTCTCTTGGTATTAAACTGATTTAAGAAGAGATACATCTTCATCCCAGGTGCTAAATTAAGTATTGCCAAATATTTATAAGTGATGAAAAACACAAGCCTAATAAAACATCTGCCACTGATGCCCTTACAACTAAGGGAACCAAAGATTGCTTTCCTGAGTCTTTGTAACTCTATTATTAAATCTTTTTTGTCTTTTCTTTTGGTATGGAAATATCACATTTCATTCATATAGAAGGCTGGTTGTGTTTCTGTGTGCTCTTTGTATTGTCTCTGTTAATAAATACCAAATATTATTACTGGAGATTCTCTAATTACTAGCTTTCTAAGGCCTATATTTTGTGAAATACAGGGCCTAAAGAGGCTGGCAAGGCAAATAATAGGCAAATTCAAGAGATCCTCAATGTTTGAGGGAAGCTGTCATCACATGCATAACAAACGGAAGATGACAGAACAATTATTTGCATTTTCAGCAAGTTCAACAGGTAAAAACATCTCCAAGCAATCCTTGCTAGGTAATTTTAACCAACTTCTGTTAAAATTTTACTACATTGGATGCAATCACCATTGAACCTGGGGAGTGAAAAACACTCTAACTAGGATCATGCTACTACAAAACCTCTAGGAAACAACCAAAGGAGCTTGTGTGGTCATTTTGCAGATTTATTCCAAAGAATGAAATCAGGGCGTTGCTTTTCAACATCTGGCAAACATGAAAGTGCTTAACAAATGCTGTTTCATGGACTTGGTTACTATCACCTCAAGGATTTGAAGTCTTGGCTGCTTGCTGAGCATCTGGGGTATCCCTGTTAAATTTAAAGGTGTAATCTGAGGCATGGCCAGAGCTCTGACAAAACAGCAAACCCCTGTTCTTATCATCATGCTGTTGATCAGTATTTCCAAACAACATCTAGTAAAAGGACTCAAGTCTGCAGAGACAAAACTCAGGCTTGATGCTCAATACGTGGTGATTCCCCCCCAATTCTTAGAATCGGTTCTAGAAAGACTGCCAGTAATTTTCTCTCCTCTTTAATGGGGCCTTACTTTAATCCATAACTCACTGGCTGGACTTCAATGCCACAGATTTGCATGTTACTGAGAAATTTCATTTTAGCAGTGTCTACATCAATCCCTTTTGGTTCATTACTCCAGATGCTGGTACTGCAAAGACTATGAGCATGTGGTCACCTTTATGCATTGAGCCAAAAGGGATAAGTCACAGTAAATGAAGTTAAGCATTTGTGTGCATCTTTTACAGAAGAGTGACCCTAAACTTCTGTGTATATAAGCTGATGATTAAAATGTCAATTTTCATATTGTTTCTCAAAAAATTACCAAGTTCAAGCAACTCTTGAGAGATTCATTCATAAAACCAAAGAACAGGGAACACAACATGCACTTGAGTTCTACAATATAATTGAGTGTAGTACCATTAAATATTAAAATATGGGAAAATGTTTTCACTCCTAATAAATTTTAAAATCTGAGGGAAAATTTTTTTATATATTTCTTCTGCAGTACAAAAAAAATAAGCTCTCCCACTTCACTCAAACTTAGTCATTCCCTGTGACCCTTGCTAATACAGATAAGACTGATTAATTTGTATGATATCTGACACTGGATGGTTGCCAAAAATCCATCAAATCTATGTGAGCTCAGGAGAAAGCCAGGGTGAGAACTTGGAGTTCCTTCTATTTTCCTGATGCATCAGGATTCGAGGACTGACCTGTGCTCTCCCAAAGTGTTCTGACCTAAGTGGAAATAAGAAAATTGTAATTGAAGGCTGTAATCTCACTTCAAGAGGATGCATGAAATACACCTACATTAATGACCACTCAGCCTTCTAAAATTTAAGGCTGAAATCAAAGTGTGTTTTTGAATTTAATTTTGAAAACTCAGTGAGTGAAAAACAAAAGCACTTTTTCAGTTCTGAGGGGCCAGGAAGAAAATCCCATAACACAACCACATGCTTCTAGAATCAGTTTTAATTTCCATAAAGACTTCAGTTTAAAAACACTTCCAGAATGGGGACTAATTATTGTGGCTGAAGGTAGCAGTAACTTGAGCATTAAGGATTGCTGACATACAATAAGCATCTAGAGTGCAAAACTACACAGAAGGGGCTCACAGGGCTCATGCACTAACCCCACCCCTCAGATATTAAATGATCATAAATCACCCCCCTGCACTAGGCACTTCAAGTTTTAAACTCTCTGACCCCAACAACCAGTTTTGGATTCAGGGATTTAAATAGGTGTTAAATGTGAGAGATGGAACTAGATATGGAGATGGGAAACATGAAGATGGACTGAAGCCCAAAGTGACCCTTTTTGTAGGGCATGCAGAGGTCTCTTCACTGACAACTCCACAAAAATGCCATCTGTTTGGCAAAATAATGCTCATGAATATTTCACAAATTAATGTATTACAGTGTAAAGATCTGACTCTGCTCCACCGAGCTCTGCTGGAAATCTGAGTATTCCCAAATTCTGATAGATAAAGCTTCTTCTCACCTGACACATTTCTGCTCAGGATAGCAGCTTAATAAGCAGCAACTTATCACCCAGAAGAAGCACAAACAGAACAATTAAAGCCATTGAGAGACCATCCTCTCCTGAAACAAGCATCAGATATAGCTCTAGAAACCCAAAAAAGCAAATCCTTCAAAAAGGAGTGAACTGAGCTACCAAATGGAAATCCATGAACATCAAATTTGACATATTCTGGAAACCAGCAACTGTTTTGGCCCCTTCCTGATCTTCTTGTGCAACTGGGATTAAGAACAGTAATTTATAGGCTCTGATAATCTCAGATTGCTTCAAACAAAAATCTAAGGACTTAAAAAACACTATCCATTGCTCAAACATCAAAGCTGTTAGTTATAAAACTGTGGTTTGGTTTTCAGCTACTTCAGGTACTTGTATGCCTGAAAAACAGTCAGGTTTTCAAACCAAATCTGTTGCTCCAATAACGGTCATTCCCTCTCCTCAGAAACCTTTCCTTTTATTGGTCCACAGAGACACATTATGGAAG